TCTACTTATAGAAAGGGGTGAAAGGCTAGGTCTTACATAGATATAGCTGAAAGAGGTAGACATGACCATGGAATCTTCTAGAGACATCCAGTCTCTCCCAATAGCCGGCAATTTCGATGAGAACCGGCTTGGCAGAGATTCTCTCTCTCTCGGAAGCGCGACGCAAAGTTGTGCTGATGGCAGAATGGGATCGATGCCATTTAATTGACCATCCGTAGCTCAAAGATGTGCGAGGCCATAAATTGAAGGGCAAATTGGTCTAGGTGGTTCAGTAACGCTTATGCAGCGGCGTACCGGTATATCCATCTACCGCCAACACGGGAAAGATACGACTGCGTAGGGTGCAAATCCATTTGTCCCCTGTCCAAGCCAAGATAAGGCTGCAAGAGCTAGGTCGTTGTCGGCAGGCAGCCAGGGCATAAAAGGCCTTGGGCTGCTGTGGCGATCTTAACTTGCTCTTTTTCCAGACACTTCACTTGCCAGAGATCTGAGACGGGTGTTGTTAATGTTCTCCACATCCATTCATCCGACTTTTTAACTTCCACCAAAAATCTGGTCTGCGTAGAGGCGCCCCCGTCTAAGCATTACTTGGTGTAAGGGGCTACGCCCCGATGTGTAGATCTGGCATGGCCAGACTAGTCACGTGCGAGCGCCACGGACACGACTCCTAAAGGGAGCGATGTAGACACGTCTCCCCTTTACACTCTTTGTAGCTCAATTTACATCAATAACGCCCAGCACCTGTGCTAACAGTGCTGACCCTGTAACATATTGAGCTACCAGTTAACAAAAGACAGGACAGACAGAAGGACAGACAGCAGGACAGACAGCAGGACAGACAGCAGGACAGACAGCAGGACAGACAGCAGGACAGTCAGCAGGACAGACAGCAAGACAGGCGATAGGCTAAACGACGAGACGGACGATCGATCGGACGACGAGACGGACGAACAAGATGGAGGACAATAGTAGTTATGCAGGGCACCGCGACCGGCGGCGCAACGAGCCGATGGAGGAAGGAGCAAGAGCTCTTGCAGATCTTATCTGGGATCGCGGGAGACGAAGAACTGCGGAAGATGTTCACCGGGCTAGGCCTAGCAGCGCCACCGTTGACACCCAGCCCGGGGGTGCTCAGTACCCCGGCGATCTTACCCGTCGAACCGAGGCCGGAAGCAGCCCAGGAAATGGACCGTGGCAAGAAGCGCAAGCCGATGACTTGGCCGAAGTGGAACGGTCAACCCGAGTCCTTCCACTTCTACCTCGACCGTCTGGTATTTAAGTACAATACCGACGAAGAGGAGGGCCTAAACGGCAATAACAACGTCGTGTGGTACGAGATCCTGCAGACCTTGCCGGATCAGATGATGAGGAGAGTCGAGGGTTTTTGGAGGCAAGAGAGCGAAGGGCAACCCAGACCCCGGAAATTCTTCTCGCACCTAGCCCAGACGTTCGGCAGCGTGCAGCAGACAGAGAGGGCGCAGGACAGGCTGCGCACCTCATTCAACGAGACAGCCAAGAGTTTGGGAAGTTCCTCCTGAATTCGAGGAAACATTGACCAAAGCGGGCGGCGCGAGCTGGGATAATGCTTCCAAGCTCGCATGGCTACGGAACTCGATCTCTCCTGCTCTCCGTGAGCAACTAGTCCCGGTTATCATGCCGAAGGACTACAACGAGTACATCCAACGTCTACACCCGATTGCTTGGGCGTTCGAGCACACCGCGAAGTTTAAGGCGTTGCAGAGGAAGCAGGGCTCCCGCGGGCAACGTGACCAAGGGCAGGCATCAGGCATCGGCAACATCCAGGTCGCCGGTAACGACAACACCCCGGCACCGTCAGCAACGTTACCCGCCGAGCAGAACGCACGTGACGCACGCGACCATGACGGCGACGTAATAATGACGGTTACACGCACTCAGGGGCAGGGTCAGAGAGGACGGGCGAACGGCCAGGGGTCAAGTGGAACGAGCAAGACGGTTCGCTTCCAGCCTAGGTCAGGACGGAAGCAACGGGCGAGGTGGGTATCCGAGGACGAACGGAATAAACGCCGTGACGAGGGTCGTTGTCTCCGCTGCGGCGACAACACCCATTTCATTGCCGCTTGCCCCTACTCGCCAGGACAGGACCCTAGCCGGTCGAGGGATGTAAAAGTCCGCACCGCTAGGATCATGCCCTTGCTGGAAGATGATGGTAACGACTCTAGTGAGGAAGAGTCAGGACTTAGCGAGACCCCATCCCTCTCGGAAATGCGTAGCCTCGAAACAAAGACGGGTCTCGAGGCCAAAGAACGGAGCAGTGGCAAAGAAGAGAAGTTCTCAGGAAAATGGAAGTTGGTCCTACAATAATTCGAAGCATTATCAATAGGACCAATCTCTTCTCCTCACTCGTAGACGAGGGATGCCAGTGCTACGCCGCGGTTGACGAAGAAGTCGTCGAAAAGTTGGAAGTTCCTATAGTGGAAATAGCACCGCGAGCTATTACAGGAGCATCAGGGGCAATGGAAGGAGCAACGATTAGGGCCTCGTATGGCTATCAATGGAGGTCAACGGCCACATACAGACGATCTGTGCCTACGTGGTGCCCCGATTGGAATTCCCCCTAATCCTAGGAAAACCCTGGTTATGCCACACAAAGTCGTACTCAGTGCCCCACGAGAAACGACTATGGCATGAACCTACACAAGACTGGGTAGATCACCTCGGGGAAGGAGAATATTCTGCGAAAGCCAAGGAGTTCGAAGAAGCAAAGCACGTACTAGCCAGTACCTTTGTGGGTTACTTTGAAAGGATCCGCAAGCAGGAAGGAAGAGAGGCAGCTGCCACGGCGATTTTCGCTATCAGCATGAAGGATATCGAAAGGGCGTTATCACCAAAGAAACCCATGTCAGAAGCAGAGCTACGCCGAACGATACCCCAGCGGTTCCACGATTTACTGCCTCTATTTATGAAGAAGGAAGCTGATAAGCTGAATCCTCATAAGCCAGGCATAGACCACGAAATCAGAATCAAGGAGGACCCGAATGGCCAGCAGTTACCACTACCGTATGGAGCACTATACGGTATGTCACGAGAGGAACTCCTGGTTCTTAAGAAGACTCTACGAGACCTAGTGGATAAAGGATTTATCCGTGCAAGCAGTTCAGAAGCAGCAGCTCCAGTCCTGTTTGTGAGGAAACCAGGTGGCGGGCTGCGATTCTGTTGTGACTACAGAGCGTTGAACGCAATCACTAAGTCGGACCGTTACCCCTTCCTCTAATAGGGACACACTTCGCAACCTAAAAGATGCGAAGTGGTTCACTAAGGTCGACGTGGTACAAGCGTTCCATAAAGTACGGGTTGCAGAAGGAGACGAGTGGAAGACAGCGTTCCGCACCCGGTACGGTCTCTTCGAATGGATGGTTACCCCGTTCGGGCTAAGTGGCGCGCCAGCAACCTTCCAGCGGTATATTAACGGTATCCTACGAGACTACCTCGACGAGTTCGCCTCTGCTTATATGGACGATATACTTATCTATTCGAGCGGGAGCAGAAGACCATTTCCGGAAGGTACGGTTAGTTTTAGAACGCCTCGCCGAGCATGGACTACACCTAGACCCGGAGAAATGCGAATTTGGAGTCAAGCGGATTAAGTACCTAGGATTCATTATTCACGCAGGAATTGGCATTCAGGCAGATCCCGACAAGATACGAGCAATAGTCGAGTGGGCAGTCCCCGTTACCCAGAAGGGGTGCGCAGTTTTCTAGGATTCGTTAACTACTACCGGATATTTATACCGCAAGCCTCGGAAATAACTGCACCCTAACAGCACTAACAGGAAAGGGGACTAAGTTCAAGTGGACGGACGAGCACGATATGGCGTTCCAGACACTAAAGACGCTATTTACGAACGCCCTATTCTTACTCAATGGGATTTCGAGAGGCCAACCTTCGTAGAAGCAGACTGTAGCGGCTGGGCGCTTGGGCACACTTACGCAGGAAGTCGACGGACAACGCAAGCCAGTAGCGTTCCACTCGCAGAAGCTATCACCGGCTGAGCGCAACTACCCAATCCATGATAAGGAAATGCTCGCTATTATTCGTTGTCTCGAACAATGGTCAGCCGAGCTACGAAGCTGTGATAACTTCGTTATCCTTACCGACCATAAGAACCTCGAGTATTTCATGACGCGCCAACAGCTCTCGGAAGGCAGGCACGTTGGGCTGAATATCTCGCGTTTTAACTTCCAGCTCCAGTACCGTCCGGGACGGAAGCAGTGGTGCCAGACGCGCTCTCTCGCCGCGAACAGGACCGACCAAACGAAGCGGATCACGAAGCACGAGATATGCAGCTTATTCCAGAAGCAGCCCTACGTACCTACGTCGGAGTAACGTCGACTCAAGCGGGAGAAGGCGAAGAAGAACACACGGTTTTCCACGACCCAGAGCTACAACAATTATGGCAGCAAACGGCAAACCAGGATCCAGTCTTTACAAGCGTTTATAACGCGGTACGAAACGGATCTCGGTCCTCGACCCCAAGCTTAAGCTGAAGGTACAAGTCGCCGAGTGCTTTATTGATCCTCGGGGGCACCTACGACTACGTGGCCGCTTATGGGTGCCAGGCGCACCGATCACGACAGAAGCAGCAGCCAAGGCAGCACCGCTAGAGCAGGAGTCGCTAAACGAATTACGGGGCTCCTTAATCCAGAAGGTTCATGACTCCCATGTAGTAGGCCACCCGGGACGGGAAGGGACGATAGAAGCCGTATCCAGGGACTTCTACTGGCCGCTAATGCAACAGCATATCCGACGTTTCTTGCGTAACTGCGATGTCTGCGGCCGTACGAAGATATGGCGCGAGCATAAAAGGGGTCTACTTAGACCGCTACCCGTACCGGACCGCTTCTTCCGCCAGATACAGATGGACTTTATTACGGACCTCCCCCTTGCGAACGGTAACCGCTGCCTCTGGGTTATCAAGGACCGGCTAAGTAAGGAAGTTATACTCGAACCGATGCCAACGATGGAAGCGGAAGCATGTGCAGAGCGTTTTCTATGGTGCTTCGCCCGCTACCACTGGTGGCCCGACGCTATAACGAGCGATAGGGGCTCGAATTGGGTAGGCCGCTTTTGGAGGCACATGTGCAAGTTACTGGGGATCGACCAGCAGCTAAGCACGGCGTACCACCCCCAAACCGACGGAGGCCCTGAGAGGATGAACCAAGAAGTACAGGCATACCTCCGCGCCGTGATTAACCAGAACCAGAACGACTGGGATAAGTGGGTTCCCGCGGCTCAGATGGCGTTAAACGGTCGGGTCAATACCTCTATAGGGATGTCCCCATTCTTCGCTATACACGGCTATGAGCCGAAGTCACCAGTTCCCCTCGTTACGGAAGCATATGCGGAAGAGTATCCTCAGCATTCGCCAGAAACCAGGGCAAAGAAATTTGTTACCAAACTACAACAGATTACGGACCTCTGCCAAGCATCAATGGCGACAGCTACGCAGCAACAAGAACGCTTCGCTAACAGACGACGGAACGCGGCAGAACGCTTCGAAGTAGGCGATAAGGTTTGGCTTGACTTACGGAACTACGCGTCAGAGCGACCTAAGAAGAAGTTCGACTGGCTGCACGCTAAGTATACGATAAGCAAGGTACTCGACCCGTACACGGTTGAACTAGCAGACCTCCCGAGGGGCTGCTATAATAGGTTCCACGTCGACCAACTCCGGAGAGCGGGGACGGACCCAATGCCTGGTCAGCAACGCACAGACGCTCAACCCCATCTATCCAAGTAGACGGGAGGCTCACCAAGTAGTAGAGGAAATACTATGCGCTAGGTGGAAGAGAACCGGCCGCGGCCGTAGGCGGGAAGTCCTTGTACGCTGGCAAGGTTGGCAAGACCCGACCTGGACCTCTTTAGACAATATGCAACAGACAGCGGCCTTGGATAAGTACGAACAGAGATACGGCCCGGCTCTCGAAAACGATGGACCATACCAGCACCGACGAGTGGCAACGGAAGCACAGCCGGCCCAAATCCAGGGCAAGTCGAAGGAATACAACCACAGCTGCAGATACAGGGCAAGAGAATACGCGGACCACTACGGGCTAGGACTAATGGCGACGCCCGTCGATAGTAACGGCACCAGACCCTATAGACGACGGCCCTACGATCGTTGTAGAGGGACCAGGAACAGGAAAAGGGCACCAGCGCCAGAGAGGAGTAGGGGCTAATGTAAGGGCTACGCCCCGATGTGTAGATCTGGCATGGCCAGACTAGTCACGTGCGAGCGCCACGGACACGACTCCTAAAGGGAGCGATGTAGACACGTCTCCCCTTTACACTCTTTGTAGCTCAATTTACATCAATTACGCCCAGCACCTGTGCTAACAGTGCTGACCCCGTAACACTTGGTGCTAAGTCTTAACGAAGCGACTCGTATAGGTCGGCTGGTGGGTGAACCCTCCACGCAATGATGCTAGCATTTCTAACTGCAGGCAGAAGTGATTGCTGGTCTTCATGGGAAATGGCCCACAAAGAGAAAGTATTTATACCGGTTAAGTTTCGTTTCGACAATTCCTTAACCAGAGTGTCGCTTCGGGCGATGCGGGCGTAGCCTGTGAAATCGTGTGAATCTTGTCGCCAAAAGCACACAAAGTGCGACGCAGGTAAACTACGGTGCAACGTTTGCATAGGGCTCCACCAAAGAAGCAGCCATCTGGAAGAGTTATGCCGGGGGAAACCACGTCAGTGGCGAATATCCGCTCAAATATCTGAAGAATGCGGTGGAACTGCAGGTGTGCAAGTCATTCGGCCATCTTTGATAGCGGTACCAGATGTCGATCTGTCTCCTCAATCATTTCATTGTTGAACCATCTCTCCGGGAGCGGGTACTATCTGGGGAATCGTAATGTGGCATCGTCGAGTCTGAATAGTTCGATAGATAATAGTGCAAGTTCATTGCCGGATGACCGCCCATGACCGTAGCCTGTGTTGTGGCCATGGGCTGGCCGGGGCCGTCCAATATCGACGGAGACGGTGGTTCGTCACAGACGCGGCCTTGCCGCGTAGTGCTCGCGCGACTCAAAACGGTTGTCGGTGGGTACGGGGTATAAACCGCCGAGTCCATGGTTGCCACTTCCATGCGATGTTGATAGCCGTACGAGGACATCGCCAGTTGCGGCGGCTCCCAGACGGATGAACTTGTCGTCGACCCGCCGGTGGTGGATGGCTCCCAGAATGGTTGTCTCGACGAAGGGACGAAGAAGCCTTGATCTTGACTGACCGATTGTCGCGGCATCAGATGTTGTTCCAGTGACTGGACGGCAGCCCCAGGGTCGCCGTCGCAAAAAGTACGACTTTGGTCGGAATTAAGTTGCACGGAGGTACCCGACTGCAAGAAATGGGCGAAATGGTTGTCACTAAAGCCGTTCCAGTTGAGAAACTCTCGGAGCTGCTTGTTCTCCTCGGCTACTCTCCTCGCGGCCATCTGAATCTCAGTAGAGGCCTCACTGCCCCGAATCTCGTACACTCTGAGTCGCTGTTCGAGCTCCTGGACATACTCTCTCCGTCGGGCGCGCGATCTCCTCTGGCTGTCTCGGATTCGGGCTAACCTGTTCTTCTGCTAGAGCAGAGAAAAAGAGCATTAGTTTCTTGTTAGCAAATGACGTTCCTGTCTAATGCATCACCTGGGTTTATGTCACTTACTGCGGGTGGTGACATTTAGCTCGCAGGCTTGTCTAAAGGCTCTCCTTGACCAGTGAAGGAGGAAAGCAAGGTTTAAAAGAAAAAGGAAGAATAGTCTCGTAAGTAGACTATTGGCGTAATGCTGGATGTCGAGGAAGAATGAGGGTTGACAAAATGAACGAGGAAATGGACATACTTGTCGTAGATCTCTGGCAAGGGAAATATTTGGAAAAAGAACAAGATAAGTTAAGCAGCTCCACGCCTTTTATTCCCGGCGGCAACATGACCATGGAGTAGCACTTGCAGTTCTCCCTGGATCTTCGACAAAGGACTGTCGAATTCACGGGTCGCATTTGCCCCGTGTTGGCGAGAAATGGGACACTCGCCCCTGCGTAAACGTGATGAATCGGTTGATTAGCTGGACCGCGTCTAAGAGCCACTCGCTTCAGAGCCCCTGCTGTTTGCCAATACTTCATAACCATTATATCCAACCGATATCGCGAAATCTTCGTACCTCGGTAGCCGTGGACGCAGGTCTCACAGAGGCTACCTTCTTCTTCCAAAGCGGATGCCGGCGTGGGCAGCCCTTCCCTTGTCACAAGGCGTCCTTCCCTGCAAGCTTCGCCACCCCCAAATACTTCCCATACCAGGACGAGGGAAGAGAAATCAACAGGCAGAATCCTGCGTCACGCTCACCCCCTGACTCCCACTGCAGGGGAGCTAAGGGCCAGTCTGCATGCATGGTTCGGAAGAGGCAGTCCGCCCAGTCACCCTAGACTCTAGAGATTCGTCCCGGTGCCAAATTGGAAGTTAGCCGCTGGTGGATTTGAAGAAATAGCGGATGTGGTTGGCGCGTATATGCAGAAGCTGGAGGTGTCATGCTCAGGGATACACGAGCCATCCGATGCAAGGGATGGTTAAAGACTTAGGCTGACTGTTGGACGTTCTCCCTAAGGGTTGGCTCACAGGCATCAGCCAAGCAACAGCGGACTACAGCCCCGAAAGAGGAGAAAGGTTCATGAGTCGACCCGGCTGAAGGATGCCAAGACGTGGCCAAAGTTGTACTGCAGAGGACTTGCGGGATAGTTTGCTGGAACTCGCATCAGTGGTTACAGAAAAGTTTGACCAGGAAAGCCCGTTCCACACTCGTGTGAAAAGCAGAGGAGCATAGACATCAACCCCTATTCTTCTTCTTCCCTTTCACCATCCTTGATCTTTCAGCTCTCCGAGAGCCGGCAAGCGGCGGACGATCTAACGAAGGCTCTTCTGCCCGCCATGTCGACTGACTCTGCCTCGACGATTCAGGAAGATGCGAGTCTCTTCGGCACTGAGTCGGTTACCTGTGGACAAACTGGTCATCTCCGTGCCCTCGATAGGCTTCTACGTCCTGCCTCACCAACCTGGGAGGTTTGTGACACCGAAACTCAATACAACGGCGCAGGCCGTTGCGACGAACAGGCGCAAGGCGAGATTGCGGAGTCACCTGCAGCAGATGCACATCCGGTGCTCGCACCCAGCGATCTTCATGACTCTTCCTCTTGCAGCGACGGGAAGGAGAATTGTCCTCCTGGACTTTTATTTCAGGTCGCCGTATCCGACACTTACCATCGAGTAGAGGCCAACGGTTCCATCGATAGCGGACAAGACGAACGAATTGAACTGGGGTTCGGCCTTCCCCTTCGCAGGCCTGTTCAAATCACCTTGAAGTTCTCCCAGCGTTCTCCTCCAGGCTCGTCACGATGCACCAGACAGCACGAGCGGAGGAACCGTGATGAAATCCCCGGAAGGAAGGATGCATGGCTTCGATCACCTGAGCAAAGATGTCAAGCTCCTAAACAAAGATACAAGAGGCAGCGTGCTCACAAATTTCGGAGGAGCAAGCGACCGGCCGTGGAAGATTGTTGAATTTGAATATATTTACCAGCCCATAGAATGGTAGCGGTCCCTTGATGCCTCCTCTATGAAACATTGATTCCACAAGCTAGCATCAACATCCTCAGTTGCTTTCATGCAAGACTTGTCGGGGAACTGCCTCATATTGACCGATTCATGCGATGTGTGCCGGTGGTTCAATACGTTTTCGCCTGTAAATGCCCCCTGCGGCCTTTCCAGCACGAGTTCCAATCTGAGAGTCAGTCAACTCGGCCCTGAGCATGCTGCGGCGAGTCGTTCGTGGCGATAGAGTGCCGAGGCTCTCCCACGGTCGCATGTAGCTGGATATGTTAAACATTGGATCGAGGCGTCTCGCTGCTGCGCTTGTCTGAGGTTGGTTGTTGCTCTCTTGCACTCTCTAACATACGCGTAGTTAGTGATTGCCACCGCCTTTTACCAAGATGAGGTTCAGTACGCTGAAACAGCTGCGTATCCACGCTCGGCTTGCCACTGTCATCAGAACTGTAGTTGTCGGCAGTAAACTCGTCGTCCCCCCCAGTTTCAGATCCGATTATTGCTTCATTCGTGCAGGTGACCAGGGCGCATCTGGACGCCTGACACTCTATAATGTGGAGGTCAGGGCTAGAGGAGCCGATGGTCTTGAGCGAGCACTTCTCCGAGGTGCTTATTTGAAACATGGCTTTCAGGCGACGAGTAGAAACCCTGCGTAAGGAGATAGAATAACTAGCAGATAAACCCGTCGCAGCAACGTCTCGGGGAATGGTCAGTAAATCCTGCCGGCCCCGGCCGTCTTGTTGCCCCGTCCATTCTTTCTGACATATGCGAACAAGAAACTCATATCCTTTTGCGCTTAAGTACATGGAACTCGGAACATGTTCCATGGACCATCGTAATGCCATTGCTTTTGCAGGACTTATCCGTACAGCTTCGGGTTCTTTTGTTGCTGCTGATGAAATAACTTGGAGCTCGGCTACAGTTTTCAGCTTCTCTCTATTCGATCAGTTGGTGGGCTGTGCAGTCGATATCCCGGTAATTCCTCAGGGACAATATGCGCGAAGGGGAGAACAAATCCTAGTCTTATCAATCGATCTACTCGTGCCCGCCCCCACTTTAAGGGGATTCGCTTTGGCTCACGGGCGGGCACGAGTAGCAGATCGGCGCCAATTTGTCCTTTCCTTCCGCACCTTCCGCATGTTGCCTGTCGTAAAACTTCGCTTCCTTGATCAGGTCGCACAACTCGGCTTACCTTCTAACCACCACCCCGCTTCACTCAACCCTGCACACGAAAACACTAAGCTCTGCAGTACAACTTTGTTCCTTTGTTTGAGTACGGATCGTACATTTTGTACTTGGCAGCTGCCATCCCTGTACGGTACAGCATCGGGCGACTCGAAACACTTTGTCACTTGTTCGAACCCCGTTCACAAGGTTGTAATCTTCGGGCATGAAAAAGATTAGGGTAAAATCAACCCATTCTGACGAGACACTTGTCGAAAAGTGTGCAAAACGGGTATGGCGACTCTCCCGAACAGTCAACCCCAGCTAACGCTTGCTTAGTCCAAACCAAATTGCTCAAAAATCGTATGGACGGTATGCCACGATCTCGAGGTGGTAGAGCCTGAAGACGACGTGGTGGCGATAGTAGTTCACATGCCAAATTCGTCTGGGCATTTGCGAATCTACGACACTCAAAACGATGACTACAAGGGCGGTGTTGGGGATGAATTCAAAAATGACAAGGTAATTGTTCTTTGGGAGGAAAGATCCAAGTTTGTTTGCTATGGAGCATGTTAAGTCGGGGTTATAAAGGTTGAGATATCTCCATGATTTCCTCCCGCGTAGTCAAATAACGCATTGCGAACCTGTTTGTGCAATGGAACGTGACTAACGGTCTGAGATCGGAACGGTTGGGCATCATCAACCGGACGCCATGGTCTTTAGAGTTAACTAGAATGCGAATGGCATCGAGAACAACCCTATTAGCTTTTTAACCGGCCATATACAAAGGGTCCGTATGATACTCGCCTAATGGCACTGCGCGCAAGGCACCGGCAAGGATGCGCTCCATGACAGGTGTCGGCACAGCCATGTAGTTCCCCGTGCACTCATCGAGTATTCGAGGCTCCTCCATGCCTCGTGCGAGTTCCGCCAGAGACTCAAGGCCGATTCTTTCGCAAACCAAGTCAAACCTGGCCCAGAGAATAAGCAGTCGCTCGACATGTAGAAGGACCGAGCCGATTACTGACGGGGCCTTCGTCGCTTGGGCGATCAAGAAGACGGGGCAAAAGACAGGACCGTCCAGCTTGGCTGCGGAGAGATGGCACTCGTCGAAGAATTGCAGAGCTCTTTGCGCAATGCTGCTTGACTTGGCATGGTGCTCGGCCGGCTTGGACAGCAACGTCTGGACAGCTGTATCCATCATTAGCTCAACCCATCATGATGCCGCGAGGAGACTCGAGTACACCCCTACCACTCCAGCCCTGATAGAGACAAAAGCCTCGGATCCCATAGAGGCAGCGGGCACAATCCGTCGTCGAGTTGGCCACACGAGCTGCTCTCGCCGGGCGGGAACCACTTCCCTCGCCCCATCGCCGCTGCGGCTCGACAAAAGGGATGAAGGATATCACGAAGAACCAGTTATACCACAGTAGTCTGGCCGTCGTCGTCTCGTTGGGAATGCTCGAATTCCTAGAGCGACGGCGAAGCTGCCGTCGGAGTTGCTCTTCCAGCTCTAGCAAGGGATGCCAGAGCTTGTCGGCAAGTGACGGTAACTCGATGGCGACATCGCAATGCGTAGAGAGAAAAGCAATGACTAGGTCGCTGGGGAAAATGTCGTCGAGGCATAATTCATCTTCTCCGTAAGCCAGTCGTAACCGCCCTTGCTTCGCGTGCTCGGTCAGATGGTTGGCAGCATCAACCCACTTGTCTTCCATGTCGCGACAAAGAATCGAATAGCCTCAAGAGATGTTCAACGTATCGTGTGAGGAAGCTCAGGTCCAGGTTTCTGCAAGGGCACGCAAAAGTAGAGGCAGAGGTGGCTGGCTGGACGGCAGCCAGAGTCACCCTGCCCCTTCTCTCGGCTCCCCTGCTTCGAAAGAATCGGTGGAGCAGGTTAAAGGGGCGTCTGGCAGGTGGCACAGGAGCGACTACGAACACACCATAACTCATGGCCGCACCATCTGCTGGAGACGGGACTGGCTGGTAAAGGCTTCAACCCCCGGTGATCGGACTCCCCGGGTATGGTTTCTGGCCACACTAATGCAGTAATCATCACAATATGCTACACAAACTTCGTACTCGACCCCATGCTCGATGCAAAGCAGGCACTATAGTGTCTGCCAAGCAAGGTGATGCGAAGAAGCGAGCAGGAACTGGGATAAGAGCGCCCTTGGTTGGGGGTGCCTCGCACCCTAATAAGACATGTATTGATGTACAAGGACTGGAATAGACGATTGCAGATCGCGACGTGAAAACCTGTATAAAGCCAACCAACCTTCCGTCTTGCCCGTCCCATTCTAAGCCGCAAGTATCCCAGCACTGCCTCGCTTTGCCTGTTACCTCGATCCTCCGCAGCCCCGACCACAATGTGCAACTACATCTATGTGCGTCAAGAACCGACGTTATTCATGGCAATTGATGTCGTCTCGTGCAGCAATGGCCTGATTTTCCTCCTGCAGAAAGAGCTCAGCTGCCAGCATCACTACTTCCTTGTTGATTCCTGGTGCTCCGAGTACCCCAGAACAGAGCGCAGATGCCCTCCCACAATCGTCAGTAGGCAATACTGGTAGGTGATTAGCCCCTTGCATGGTGACGAGGAAGTGCGTTTACTAAAAGAAAACAGGGGTAACGATATCTGCTGTATGCTTCTGAGATCCCCTGTCCTTTCACACAGTTCTGTGCTAAGTGTACTCCCAGCCGCCTGTCGACGACAGGAACAGACAAGACGTCATCCGTGGGCCAAGTGGATTCGACCGCGGCGGCCAATGGTGAAAGATCCCGTATAATGCTTCCTCGAAGTAGCTCATCGTGAGAATGGGGGACGTTTCGTCGTTCTTGCTCGGGGACAAAATGATGCCCCACTTCATTTGTTAGGTTATAAACTACATGCAATATTCGAGCCATATCCTAATGCCCCAACTCTTCCGCTTCCTTGCCCAGGCCAGTTTCGCGACCTTGCTCGGTCCGCTGATAACAACTGTCCAGGTCTGCAATGCATTGTGACCAAGTAGAACTCAATACCTCTTGCTGAAGGTGGACGACAAGCGAGCGAGCATAGAAGTAGAATCTTGACAGGTGCTCCGACGATTCCGGCAGTTTTTGTTGGAGAAGACGCAACGGCCGCTGTATGCCGAGTCGTCTCGTGCGATCTGCCATCTCAGGCAAACCACGTCGAACCACATCGGTCGCCGCCGGATGGCTCGCCGCCAAAAGATAGTCGAAGTATGCATCCAAGAGTGGAACAAAGGTGGAAAAGAGCTCAAGATAGTAGTCGCGAGAGTGCTCACTTCCCTTCCTCGACACAAAGGCGTCACACGCCCTTTCAAGCGCCCGCAACCCTTGAGTTATTGCCTGTATCTCTGATTCTAGTGTGCAGCTGCTGAGCACTTGAACAAGAGGCTGGCGGATCATTGATGTCTCTGCAGCGTCATCGTTTCCTAGGTCGCTCTGTCTTGGTTGGTTTTCGTCGGTCGGGGCCTTATGCTGGGTGAGGATTGAACGACTGGGTCTGTGTCCATACATGTCGTGGGAAAAGGACGTGGAGTGTAGGAGTGCCGAGTCGATCGGTTGGCCAAGGTCCTCCTTATTTGGGTGGTCTGATGGGCTTTTTTACTCTACCGGATTTTGTAAGTACATGTAGCGCAACCAATTTAGCCATAATGGTTCGCATTTGCCTTGCCTTAGAACCCTGGAGTGATCGATTCCTACAGGATATTGAGGTGTCACAACTCACAATCGCAGTGCTTTTGCAGTCCGCCACCGCTCGCTCGAGGACGGGGCGGCGTAACGTCATGGGCGCTGCCTGCGCGTGGGAGTGAACGTAATCGGCCTGGATGTAAGCCCATCCGGCATGTGTGTGAAGCATCGATGATTGATTGGTGAGACGAGGTCTGGTGGTTGTAGGTAGGAGTGAGCCTACTCGCAAAGGCGTGAGCCTATTCGGCGGCAAGTAATTAGCAGGCTCTGGCCGGAGGGGTAATGATGGGTAATGAATGTCACGCACATTCCTTCCGTGTCCTGCCTTCCTTGGCTCGTGATCTAGATTTTAGACGTTGCAACCAACCCCGACCGTCATCATGGTCGACATCAACATCCGAGAGGTCTTGTCTCATCTGTCTGACGAGCCACGGCGTGGGTGGCTGGCCCGAGGCATCCCGCGTGCCGACTGCGAGAGCGTCGCCGAGCACTCTCATGCCGTGTCGCTCATCTGCACCGCTTACGCCCCCGAGCAGCTCAAAGCCAAAGCCACGGAGCTGGCGGCGGCCCACGATGTGGCCGAAGCCGTAACCGGGGACATCATTCCCGCGGACCAGGTGGGCAAGGAAGCGAAGCTGTCGCGAGAGAGGCTGGCTTATTTGTTCCTCGAGTCCATGGACCCAGTCGCCGGCTCGAGGCTCACGGAGCTGTGGCGGGAGTATCAAGAGAATCGAACCGAGGCCGCCCAGCTCGTCCATGACGCCGACAAGCTTCAGCGGCTAGACCGGGCATTCGCATACGCTCGCCGTTTCCCGAAGCTAGACCTATCCGACTTTAAACACGACGCGACGCAGATTGTGGGTGACAGCATGCGTCAGGAAGCTCGACAAGTGCTCGAGAAATGGACGTCTTGGGAGCAGCGACGGCAGACTTTCATCTTCGTTATAGGTAGGCAGGCGACTCCGTCTTCCTTGGCAAGACACAGCCAACTCCTTCCCCCTTAGCAAGACACCTCGGTAAGCGCTGCTGACTCGAAACAGGCGGCCCGGGTGTCGGAAAGGGCACGCAGTGCAGCAAGGCGGCAGCTACCTTGAGAGCCGCCCACGTGTCTGCGGGCGAATTGCTACGGTGCGAACAAGCACGACCGGGATCCCGATTCAGAGACTTCATTACGCAGAGCTTTGAAATGTCTATACCGGTGCCTCCGACATTAATCATCGACCTAGTGCGGGAGGCCATCCAGCATGATCCGTGTGAGACCATTTTCCTCGACGGCTTTCCATTGACCGTAGAGCAGCTTCGGTACTTTGAGAACGAGGTATGATCCATCTAAAGTGTTACGGGCGCTCTCTAACGGTGACAGCTGTCCATCAAGTACGGGACCGTCTTGTTGGATGCGGGCAGCGAGACGTTGCGGAGGCGCTTGCAAGGGCGAGCCGAGTCCTCGGGCCGCGCCGATGACGAACCGGACAGAATCGACAAAAGGATCGAGGCATTTCATGCAAGGCCTAGCCCGGTGATGGACCTCTTGCGCAGCCGGGAACAGCCATTCTTTGCAGTCGATGGCGAAGCCGAGGTGGAAGATGTGCAAGCAAAGTTTGTCGAGTATGCTCAAGCTATCCTACGGCTATATTCGTCGCCACACCTTACTTAGCTAGTGTTCCACTGTATCGTAGCGAACTCTCTCTTCCTAAATGCAAGCCTCACAAAACAGCCGTCCAGACTGAGCTTGTTCGTCTCGTCGTACTGGGTTGCAACATTAACCTGCTGCGCAAAGGGCTGAAGCTCGCGTGGTACATCCATTGCAACCTGTAGTGTTGCAATCACACAGTTGGCGCAGAAGATGTTGCGTTCAATGAGCGTTGTTGGAGAGTCTGGATGTCGCCACTGGTATGCCTAAAGCTGTCAGCTGAGCCGCTTAGACGCCGGGCGGATACGCCTTACCTTTTCCTTATGCCGAATCCAGTACATCAGCCTCCAGGTATCTCGTTCTATTATCCGCAGGAAGATGAGAGCTGCGGCGAACGCCGTCTTCATGTTGCTTTCGCCTGACCGCCGCTGTTCAAAGGTCGTCTGGAGTAGGGTGAGAAAGGCGCCTTCGACCTCGACAATGTGTCGCTCGAGCAAGCTGTCGAGCTGGTTCTGCAGCACCCTTGGAGCCGGCGAGGTGTTGACGTAGGGATCCAACGGAGCTGAAATAACGGGCCCGTCCTTGACTTGCCAACCCTTCATCAGCAACACCGTAGCGGACCAGAGGTCAAGCACCAAGCCCAGCATTTTGTTTTCGCCGCTGACGCTTTGCACGAGGTCATGGAGCCAACTTCCTCTAGACTCGCCTACACAAAATCGTATGCAGGCACGAATATAGGGATCCAGCTCAACAGCGTCAGCGAGACGCACGGGGTCGGTGATGGTATACTGCCATCCCGTGCGAGTTTTCCCCCAAAGTCTAATGTGCTCCTCGTCGGTCGGATAGAAGTACGCGCATGTGGCCGTCAGAACTGGACCTGAATGGAAATGCTCCAGCCTCATGGGAAAACTCTGGTTTGTGCGAGAGGTTTCCCCCCATAATGAGGTCCGATACGCTTCGTTTCTCCCTAACGACAGTCAGCAACGCCATGTCACACGCGATTCGAGTCCATAAACTTACATTTCTTAAATACGGCTTCCTCAGAGAACCGAACGCGATAACATATTGACGGCGGAATACCAATGCAGTTTTGGCATACAGAGCCGCCGTTGTACTCGCACTAGGGACAAGGGGCGGTAAGCAAAGAGCCCGAACCACAAACATGTCCAACGTACTCGCCTTTCGTCGAAGCACTCGACACTTGATGCAAGTGGTGCTTCTACCCCTCGTAGCCATGTCCGTGCAGAAGGCAGGTCTAGTAGCCACTAAGGGCCATTCAGGTTCCCGGGCAGATTCGTAGGGTATGAGGCCTGTACGCTGAGGCAACTCGGGTGCAACTGAACAGTCATCAGAAGCATCCGTCGGAACTACCGACGCACTCGTAAGAGACCACACGGTCGAGTCATTAAAGGACCAGCTCGCCGACGACGGCAGTTCAAGCCCCGCTTCTGCCATTGGCCACAAGGTGGCCGAGTCCAAGTCGAGCAAGGAGCCTTCCGTGCCTAGGTCGGCTGTTTGCTCAAAGAAAGGGAGACTTCCTGAAATGATTGTAACAAGCTCGCAAAAAGCTTCGTCCCCGATGTCGTGGCGCCCACGCCAGGCCCATAAGGCGTTCAAGATGTATTGCGTCGCTGACATTGTTGCTTGCTTACTGGTTGGCGAAATCAGTAATGGAGCTTGTCGAGAGTGGACCATTCACTATGAACAAGTGCCTAGCCAGAGAGTAGAGGAAAAGCGTTCGCGCCACTGATTTAGGTGCTGGAGTAGGTACCTAAAAGCCTGTCAGGAGAGCGGGCGATACTTAGCCCTCGAGTGCCTAGCATCTGCCTCCTGCGTGCTCCGTACTGCTGAAGACGACAGCGGGGAAACGCACCAGGATCACAGTTACCTGTAGGCCAGAACCTTTTAGGAGCCGACTTAGTGCTAAGCCTACGGGTAAGCCGTCATCTTGATGCAACGGCATGGCGGGAACTCTGCCGTGGCGGGGAGGTGAACCTAATCGGCGAAGGGGTGAAGCTATTCGGGAGCCGCCCTGCTAGTCTACTTTACCTTAAAATACTGGCTTTGCTTCCAGGATGACATGGATCAGGACGAGAAAACAGTAGTGTGTCATGAATTTAGGGGCTGCAGTCTAGCGTTACCCCCTCCCGGCGAAGCTACTGTAGACGAGCCTGCACGTCGAACTAGGGACCAGGACCACTGCGCATATTTAGTCAAGTGAGGCGACGGCGCTTGTCTATTAGTGACGAGGTTTGATTGCGCTCTGTCTGCGGTTACCGGGTGAGGCAATTGAGTTGCAAGGGGCCGAAAATGGATGTCACTGTCGTGAGCTCGTATTTGTTCAAGCCTCGATATGTTTGGCTCCAACGACTGGTATCCCTGCAACGCTGCAAGAGCTTCGACGTGCCGCTCAACGTCAACCAGCAAGCGTGCCTGAAACAGTTTCATTTCGCCAAATTGTGCGTTCGAGCGTTTGTCGCTGGGTGTGAACCTAGATAGAAAAAGGCCTATCTCATGTAGTTGTTCAGTTGGAGCTGTATTCTCTGCTATTCTCGCGAGTGTCATCCTGCGTAGTTGAATTTTTGCCCAAGTTTGATCCAGAGGACCCAGCAACTCGGCATGAAGAATGACGCTTTTCTTCCAGCCAATGTCGAGGAAATATGAGGCCGAAAGGCAGACGTTTGCGGCTTCTGTTATCTGCTTGTAGTGCTTAAGCCCCGGACGGACATCTTCCAGATATTGTAGTACGTGTTCAAGTTGTGGTAGAATGGCACTCGCAATAGTAGCGTACCTAGATATCTAGTTCAGCAAGTCATACCTAGGAAACAAACACCTGTGGGTACTTACTGGGCCAGTTCAAGGTGTCGGTGCTCTGGGAAAGCATGCAGAACTGCTCTGACTGCTCGCGGACGCCAGACGGCCGAGTCTTGTATTGTCTTCTTAATTTGTCGTATGGCACACTTCAATACGAAACCATTTGAGCTCGACTCAGAAAGAAGACCTCTCTCCTTCACGTCTTTGACTGCTTGGTGGCACCGGGACTCCTGTGCGACAGCTGGAATGTCGTCGTATATCTTGTGTCGTATTTCGCCGTCGTTGCCCCATGTCAGCTTGGGCTTCCTCAACCGAACCAAGAGGTCCATTGTGACATTGCCACCAAGGAAAGCAACCAGCTTAATGAAATCAAGCGAGTCGCTATCCAGGTGGTCCAATGTTTGAGCAACTGTTTTTCGCTTCTCCTTTCGCTTCGCCCTCCCCCAACATGTGTGTGGCTTTTCATCCACTTTCTGCCACAGGTGTTACATGTTTTGCAACTTCGGATCGAGTACACATTCACGTACGGCGCTCGGTCTCGTCGGGTATGGCTCATTTCGGGCATGCGATTTGTGTTGATCGTTAGGTGCAGTTGCGGTGTTCCTGTGAGTGCTTAAAAGTCCATAGCCCTAACCCCTCATTGCCAACGCACGGCTCGTTTCAAACGGCTAAGACATCAAGTAGGTGTCTGGCGGCGAATTCGATTCCGTCCACCTCCCGATATCGAACCAGCTCCCTCTTCCTCCCCGAGCAGAGATTAGCGCTCTAGCTTCATCAGGCAAGTTGTTTTCCGCCATGCATGACGCAGCCGCCTTGCCCGCCATGGCTCAGCCCACTTCTAGATCCTATCAAATCGTCGCGGCGAAGCTGCCACGCATGAATGCAGGGCAATTAGCCAACATGCACCTTGCAGGAACATGAGCATCAAACCAATACAAGCCCCTTCTTGTTGCCAACCGTGATACCAATGGAAATATCCACATTCTGCCCATCGCAGAATAAACACTACTAGGCATTCTGTAGTTATCTAACATGATCCATAAACCCGTAACTTATCCAATATTAGCCACCACTGAACGATGTCCATCCCGCTAGCATGGTTTAAACATTAGTCACTAATCACAGCAGGTCTCAGCCCATGCTTAGTGCAATAATACCTGTCAATTGTCTGTCCGAATTATCTATCCGAAGCCATCCCGTCATCTGCGGGCACCACCAACCTACACCTCCGTCTCGATGGCCGCATATGACGGCCTTGCAGTGCGTTTGACCTACTGGCTAAACAACTTGCCATGCAGCAGCAGCAGGCCGTATAGTGATGTGCAGCTGTGCCTCCCCTGAAACGAGCGACCCAACAGACGTCTGCCTGTGGGGAGCCACTCGGTCGAGACTACAGTACGTGCATTCAAGCGTGAACAAGTATAGTCACAGCGTGAATGGGTCAACATTCGTCGGTGGCTCCGAGGCGACGCAGAAGAACAGCCGATCTATTTTGGGGTTTGTGAGATAAGTGCTGGCGCCTCTTCAATGCAACGAGGGCAAATCCATACGGAAATGTGCCTTGTCGTTGTAACCGTGCTTATCCGATTTGGCAGCAAGGGTGTGTTGTCTTCATGAGCTGTGCGCACACATGCATGCAAGAGGGTGAGCAAGTCATATTTCCAATATATCGGCATACAACGGCTCTCAGGTCCCACAGAGACTTTAACCAAGTCAGATGGAGACGTAACAGCATCGAGCCTTTAGCACCACGCCTGAAACTTGGACGTGCACCAGTATATATTGGTTAAGATGAAGCCGGGGAAAGCTTCTGTATGGATTCTCTTGTCTTCATTCAAACTGTCGTAACTACCCAGCGAGAACAAGATTTCTCTTCGAGAAGAACCAATTCCTGCGCCTTCATTATGAATCATTTCGCCATTAATGGTCTACTTGGTGGGCTCCGGGCCGACGCGCAAGCAGGCGATGAGCATGCTGCTGGTAAACTTTGGGTTCATTTTTTGTCCAAGCACATTTTCACGGACGCGGCTCGATGGGTCGTTTCTCAAGAACAGCCACCAAGATCTCACCACAGCCAGAGACGCATGGACATTCTGGTCGAAGAGTTTCTGAAATCAGACGGAAGGAGAGGAACACTTCGAGTCGTGCTGATTGGAGAGGGCAAGAAGGCACGGGCAAGTGGAACCGACGTGACAGAAGTCGAAGTGCAGGCCTACGAGGGGTGCACCGCGCATATGTTGCACGCGCAGAGAGATTGGGTATGGGCCTTGACCTATTGCGGCAGCGAGGGCCGACTCTGGGCATGCAACAAGAACGCAGGCTTTCTCGAGCCAGTTTATCCTAGAGATTACAACTTCGGCGACAGAAAGCTGTATATCGATATTGCAAATGGCTTCATGGAGCAGCTAATCTGGATTCGAGAAAATTCGGTCCCGACGGAAGACATGTTCGAAGATGTCAACCGAAGCCTCGCTGCGGGAACAACGGTCTTACCGACGGCGGTCTTGGGTAGCTCTCATGGACATCCGGGCTATGCTGCTGTCTCGACTCTCGCATCGACGACATTTGAAAATTACGGTAGAGGCGCTCAAGCAAGTGCTGCTGGGCCATCTTTTGCGGCTGCAGCCCGCGGGTCAGACGTCATAGATCCGAATCAACACGTCTTCCTTGAGCTCGCACAATACATAGAAGGGGGCACAAAGGTCAAGGGCACTCGTCCAGACGGTACTGCCATGCGTACGCCCACCGAATGCTGGGCTCCAGGCCAGGTCAGGGATCCACAAGGTAATATTCATGCTTGCGTCGCCGCGACGCTCCCCAATTCAGGCAATCAGTATTGGGCGTGGATGATTGAGCCCGAGGCCGAGGATGCGGCAGAGGACAACAGGAAGAACAAGGGCAAGGCAAAGCGACACAAATGAGATGATTGCCATCAGCCATCATTGCTAGTGTTCAGAATTAGTTCTTCACAGTTAAACCAGCACTTCAGAAAACCCGTCATGGCGCAACACGTCCACCCCTCTTCGTGGTGTTGATGAGCTCCCACGCTCGAGGTCTCGACTTTGATTGCTCTTAGATCTCTGCCTCCTGAGCCATGGATAGTTGGAGCGTAACACAGGTGAGTAGGCATCTCAATGTCGCGGCATTCGTCGCTGCCAAGTCTGCATTGCCCAAGGGCCCGCATGGAGCCATCATCATACCGCACGAGTATACCTCTGCATAGCTTGGTTTTAGCATCATGGAAGGTTGTGATTCCAAGGACGTGGTTAAGAGTGAGCGATGAAAAGTACGGCTCGCTCAATGACGGCACTTGATCGATAGATGGTGGAAGAGGCTGTGGAATCGTGGGGATATTGGAATAGACCCAGACTAATGTGATGGGCCCATGTTCGGGCATTCGATATGCTAGGCTGACTGGGTGCGGGGTCATTTCAGTCCTTGTAAAGTCTCGTTGGGAGGGAGATCCAATAAACACGGCTCCCGTTGCCTCAGTGCACAGCTGCTTTCTGTCAGAAGGACAGAATCCAATAATATCTTGATTCTTACCAGAAAGCTCGTCCGCGGAAAGGAGATGGTACCACGATTTCTGCAGCCAAAGGCAACAATGCCCTTGTTTATCGGAACATATACCCATGCAACAGATTGCTGCTGCCTGGGCCACAGAGTGTCAAAAGTGCTCTGCGCAAAAGGCTTGTTGCGTGTGTGGCCATGAATAGCCATGGTTGCGCCAGACAAGACGAAGAAGGTAATACCAGTGCATTCATGCAACTGGATAGTGCGCAGACGACATGGGGCAATGGTACAAGTTGGATCGACCAGGCATTTCTGGAAAGACGGTGGAGAGTGTGTATCCCAAATGCGGAAGCCTTTGGAGCCATGGGGAAGGACAAGGCGAGCACGTCGGAGCTGGTGGCATTAGTTTAAATAATCGCAGAGAGTCAATATAAGGCCCATACTTGGAACTCGACGTCGACGCAAGAAAACATCTTGGCCGCCTCGACGATGTAGGCAAAGGAGTGGGAGCGAGAGACACTGCTATTGAGCGCCTTTGCCTGTAATCTTTCGATACGCCGGAGACCGTGCGAGTCAATTGTGAGACGCACAAGGCCCTCATTTGTGCCGCCACGGGGAGCCTCAGCCGTTTTGGGGAGCTCGCCGCGCCGCCAATGCTCAATCCTGTTGAAAGGGACCGTCAGCGGTTCATGGTCGTAAGCCTCTGACAAGGCACAAGCAAGCTCCGAAGCCGACGAATGGCGCCATAGCGGGCTTTGATGGGACTGTCGGTGGATCATGCCGACCAACTCTGGTGGAAGTCGCGGCAGCTGGGGCAGGTTCCAGGCCGCTGCAGCATGGGCCAGGCCCGCTGAGACGTCAACAGCGGGAAGCAGATGGAGAACTGGGGCACGGTGCCAGGGGCTCCTCCATGTTGCTGCTGTCCACAATCTGGCTAGACTGCTCTTGGCATCCAGCGCTCTGCTCTTGGCTCGGAATACCGACAAGCAATCGGTGTGAAGAGTGGCGCTCTCGGGAGCCGCCGCGCACATGCGACAATGGAGGTGGCGACAAAATATCCAAGAGTGGCCATGGGAATTATCGCAGTAGGCCTCCTCTAAAAAGTCACCCGCTCGTCGTGCTGCTTCAAATGTGCCGTCGCATTTCCCAACGACTAGCGACGAGTCAGCGATGGAGTGTTCATTAGAGGGAAATGAAAGTCTTACGTGCAACTATCTTGTCGCCAGCACCGAACCGAAAGCCGCACGCACCACAATAAGACTGGATGCGAACGTGGCGTTCTTCCGACATGTTTGTTATGATGGAGGTAACGCTGGGCGCAGCGAGCTCCGTGGAAAAAAGACATCGCAAGACATGCTTGACTTACTCAGCAAGCTCAGGCCCACGTGGTCGTGTCTAAGGAAAGGCTGTAGTTAACGGGCCCTTGGATTTCGTTATCGGGCGGCTGAGAGGGTCACATGACTACCCGCGCCCCCGCCGCCAATTGTGACAGACAGTGTCCTATGTTAATATTTTAAGCCAGCGGTCAATGTATGTGTTGGAGGACTCCAGTGGGATCTGGAAGGTTCCATGGATATGGCGACTCCGTCGCCTGAGTCTATATAGACTCGGATCATCATCACATCTGTAGCTAGATAGACAAGCATCAATAGATTGCTCACTCATCCTTTCCAATCCGCAGGTGCGGACAACAGGGCCTTATAGCCCAACACCCTGACGCAGACGGTCGCAAGCTTGAAGAGCTTGTCGCCGCGGTTCGAGACCAGATAGGTGTTGGGATTGGTACTGACGGTCGTTGAACGGATGCCCGTTGGGCATCATCCCCAATTCGTCGATCTCAAGTAGGAGATAAGCAATCTTTGCAGCTCGTGTTCAAGCTGGTCCCCAGCGGTCGGCAGAACCTAGGGAGGCGGTGCCGTCTGCTAGGGGCCGGCGTGGGCCGACGTAGGCCGGCGTCATCCAGCGGCAATAGGAGCATCACTGGGCGCGAGGCGCTTCGAACCCCCTCCAGGCTCCGATAGAGGTCCCACTGAAGTATGCTTCAGGCCAATCATGTCCTAGTCTTTATCTGGTGCGGCAGCCATCTCATCGAGGCATCCATCCCATGAAGTAGGAGTGCTTTCTGGCTGCAGGGCAGCCAACAGAAGCACATTTTGACTCTAGCGCGGCAACTTACAGAGCGCTGACATTCGACCGTTGCTGAGTAAGTACGGATATCGGAGACTCAATGCCGCGACAACCCCCTGGCCTCGAGGATTCGAACTTCCCGCTACCTGGGCGCCAGACAAGGCCTCTCAGAAGTCATACATCAGACAAACGGGATCACTGAACTTTCTTTCGACGGGAACGAGACCAGACATTACATACACGACAAATCGTCTCTGCGAAGCCAACGCCGGACCGTCTGACCAGCATAAACAGGTGCTAAAACACCTCTTTAGATACCTCATTGGAACTACGAACTTGTCCCTCTGTCTAGGTGGGAAATTCTCGATTAACAATCTTCCACTTCTCGGATTTGCGGATGCAGCATTTGCAGACCGAATACCAACACGGCATTCTACTGCTGGCTATACTGTTCTTTTAGCCGGCTGTCCGGTTCTCTGGAAATCCAGTAGACAGACAATTGTCGCACTGTCAACAACGGAAGCCGAATTCATGAATCTCACGCCAACTGGACAAGCTCTTTTGTGGATTGATCGCATCATACAGAACCTTGGAATCCGATCCAGCAAGCCAGTCATCATATTCACGGACTCACGCAATGCACAGCTCACGGTACTAAATCCAATGAACTCGGCAAGAACAAGACACATTGACACTCGTTATAAATGGATCATTGATCGCACAACCCGAGGAGACTTTGACATTCAACATGTCTCGACGCACGATATGGTGGCAGACGGACTTACCAAGCCACTCACCCAGGATCGCCATGTTGCTTTTGTTCGTCAACTTGGACTTATTTCTCTTCCGATTGCCTAATCTGCAAGTCACGATGTTTGACCTTTGGATTGTTCAGTCATCTAGCCATGTCTGGCTACGGGGGGGTGTTGGAAGAGACTGGTCGTCTCTAGAAGGTTCTATGATCATGTCGACATTTGTCAGCTATGTCTATATAAGACATAGCCTCCCACTCCTTCTGTAGCTAGAGAGATATCATCATCATTTAAGAGATCATTCATTTAGTCTTTCCTAGTCCATGTGTATGGACGACACTAGTAAAGCTAGCTATTAACTTAGCTAGCTGCAGGGGGCTAGCTCCTGCCGCGTCATAGCTTAGACGGCCACACACGCGTAATGAATTAAAAAAAAAGATCCAGAATAGGATTGGGTACTTCACGCTGGACAATGCAGAAAGCAACGACAGAGCCATAGAGGTAATTGGTGGCGAGCTTGGGTTTGTCGGATCGACGAGCTGTGGACCCTGCTTTGGTCATATTCTTAATCTCTCCGCCAAGGCACTACTATTCGGCCAAAGTCGAGGCCTTCGAGGAGCAGTTGTCAGGCGCAGCGGCCTTTTCCGAGGCGGAGCACACACTTTGGCGACATAAAGGACCTGTCGGAAAGCTGCACAACCTCGTGGTTGACGTCAGAAGGTCGGACCACCTTACATATCTGCTGCGGAGTATACAGCGTGCCGAGTTCGACACGTCTTCGGATTCCAGGGTCAGAGCCAGGAAGCCCCTTGATTTGAGCATGGACAACGACACTCGATGGCTTTTCCAACTGTACATCATCAGACGCGCCATCAAGCCTTCGCCCGTTTCTCGAACAGCTGATCTTAAAGCATCGTCAGCCATGGGAGCAGGATAACAGGTCTAGGAGGACGGGCAGTGTCAGGAAGTCGGCCAAGAAGCCACGGATTTGCCTCGAGGACAACCAACTTACGGCGAATGACTGGGACGTCCTCGAACATCTGGCCAAGCTTCTGGGGTTCTACGAGGATGCTGTCAAGATTCTTGAAGGCGACGGTCAGCAGCGAAAGCGGAAGAGAGGGTGGGTTGGCTCGTATGGGAATGTATGGGAGGTTGTTCAGGGATTCGAGTTCCTTTTGGGGGTCCCCGAGGACTATAAGCAGCTTTCATCAGGGATGCCCGACCCGGAGCACTTCAGGATCAACGTCAAGACGACGATATCCTCGCCTTTCGCGAATGGCGCTGGACTTCGTAACGATTCAGCCGATGTCAGCAGAGTGTGAGAGGTTGTTTGCAGCGGCAGGGCGTATGGTGACACCTCTACGAAGTCGGCTTGATGCTGACATTATTGAGATGTGTCAAGTTCTGCGGTCGTGGTTACGAGCTGGGGTAATCGACGATCTGGATGTATCACTTCTGCCTGTTGAGAAGATGGGTGGCGACGATGAGGCGGAGGATATATCATGGATAAGGAAATGCGAAGAAACAGTAGGGGTGATAGACGAAGGTGAAGATTTTGAAGATTTTGAATGAAGGATGAATCAAATGAATTGAATTTTTTGGATCTTGATTCAAAATCTTCAAGCTCCAATTTTCGCGATTCAAGTTGGGTTTGGGCCAATTCAGGCCATTCATGAATGGTTTGAAGGATCCCTAAACGAAGTGAATTTGGTGTGTACCTGAGCGATTGCAAAGATGCCTCAAAAACGCCAATAAGTAGTATATAGTTTTAAGTTATAGCCTTCTAAGAAGTCGATAATCCCGAATACTACAAAAATTAACTTACATAAATACTGATCCGCCTGTCCTAGGCAAATCGACTGAAAATAAGCACTTTCAAAGCTCTGCCGAATCCTCAAAATACGTCGGTACAACGCGTTCGAATCCGCCACTGTACACGGCTACACTCTTAGAGCCCCAATCCTCCGAAGCCTCCATTGTATCTAGACAGGGGGTTGATATCGCAGACTTATCGGCTTGGGATGCAGGAGGTTTGGGGTAGGGGTTCGGTGGGAGCCTCGGTGGGAGGAAGAGGTTGAGGAGGATTCTCGCCTGAACACAGATTAGCATATACCTACATATATAATGAGGGTATATCCATACATACCATCTTCCAGCTTGCCCGGAATGTGGTCTGGTCTCCAAATAATACTATTGGCAAAGGCAGGATGTCATACTCCATGGCCGCCTTGATCAACGCCTGATCGATCTTATCTTCCTGAGTATAAGCACTCCGTAAAGTGTTAGTACTCGCACCGTATCTGCCTTCAAGGCGTGACGGCGGATACCGAATTCGTCTCTACAACCGCTGAAGAGGCGTTCCACGTCAACTTCAGAGCCAGAGACAGAGAGAAGATCACGCGCCGCCGCAGCCAAAAGTGGCCACTCGACCTTGTGTTCTTTCCACCACTTCAGTAGGAAGTCTGGAGACTTTGCAATAGACTCGTCGAACTCTATTCGAGGAGCTGCAAGCCACCGTTCAAGCTCCGAAATAGGGATCGCCGCGCCCGTCTCCGCCTCCCTCGCCTTCTTCATTTGGATGGCTCTCCATTGCGCAATGGAGACTCCTTGAGGACGCTCAGCTGGTCTGGATTGGCTCATAGTTGAGTTTGTGGCATTCAATGCTGCTAGCTCCGGCCACTCCGTTTTGAAATACTTCTTGACTTTAGCCATAATCTCAGAGTATTGATCCGGTATCATCATTTCCAATTGGTGAGTTTTATAACGCGGATCCAGGATGTGAGCTGCGAATAGCATCATTTGATCGTCAAGCTTCTTCATATAAGTAACGTGTTTTGCTTTGCCCTTCGAGAAGGCGTCTCGAATGGACATATCAAGGTCTGTAAAGTCGCCAACTCCTTCGACTACATCATCAAGGAGAGCTTCCAAATCCCAATAGATATCGAGACTTTGTGAGATCGGCGGCATAACTTCGGAGACTTTCAGAGTGTGGTCTTTAAACGGCTTCAGAACCTTCCGCAGTTGATAGAGAGCGACAATCTCTTCTGATAAGGGCAGGAGGCACTTGACTTGCGGGTGAGTATCAACGAACTCAGTATACTCTGCCTCAAGCTCGAGGAATTGGTCAATCATGTCGTAGGCCGAATTCCAGCGAGTGTCGACATCGTAGGTTGGCTTCCGGTAGTGCGTGCGCGGCATGCTTTTGAAGTCTTGCTCCTAGACCCGGATCTCAACATCCAGAGATTGAGGAGGCGGATTTTGGCAATCCCACTTCGACTAGAGTCTCCCGGAATGGTGTAGTTGTTGCTTTTATTCTCTTCGTCCCACTTGTCAAGCATCTTCTTGGCTTCCTTCGCTGTGCCTGCTTTGAGATCTTGCAAGACGCCCTCACAAATGAGCGAGGTAATATGAGCTAGACAGCGGATCCAACTCTTCCTGCCGTGAAAGCGCATGCGGGGCCTCCTATTGGGCTCACCTTGTCGTCGAATTTGGTCTTGAGAGAATCGTACAAAGACTGACAGAGCGTGCCGTTATTGCCGGCGTTGTCTCCCGTAATGGCGAGAAGCTTAGGCTTGAGCCTGAGCTCCTCAAGCGTCCTCTCAACTATCTCAGCTAATTGTTTGCCAGTGTGAGATCTTTTGAGCTCAATAAACTCAATAACTTCCTCTCTCCTCAAACTCCGGTGTAATCCAGTGCGCAATAATGGCGAAAATGGGCACCCGATTCGGTGCTGTCCAGATATCAAGGGTGAACGAGATGGTGGCACAATTGTACTCAAGCTCAATCTTCAGCTTCTCCTGCGTTCGACAAAGTCTGTATATATATGATTGCGTAACGTTATACGACTCCTGTACACACATGTTGTGTTGTGAGCCAAGAACATCTCTTGAAAAGCAGGAGTCTCGACAACAGAGAAGGGTTGTCGGTGTTTTACAAACCACCGGCGGATAGACTCCTTGCCGTGAGTCTTGCTCTCTGCCTAGGTCGACCGCTCCATGCGTCTGCCTCTGTATAATCTCCTCCACCAATGGCGCGGCCGTATCCATTAATTCGAGCGTGGTGAGATTCCTTCGTAATACCGTGGATTTTTAAATGGTCTCCCATGCCAGAGGTAACCCTCGGCGGTTCGATTCGAGGACCTGGAATCTCTTCCGAAGAGTATTGGGATTTTGAAGGCACTCTATACAAGTCCACCGGAACTCTTGGAAGATCTTCGGCCCATCCTTATCCTCTGAGTAAAAGCTTCTGTCTATAGCTTCCTCTGCATATACCAATAGACGTGGCTGTTCTTGTCTCTCTTCTTGCGAACATGCTTTTGTTTGTTGTCGGCCCACTTCTTGATAAGTCCGGCTTTCTCTGCGAGCGTCATATGACTACTGTTCAATGGCGGCTCTGGTGTATCCGCGTCGGGCATGTCATCATCTGACTCACAGTCAGGATGACCCGGGGGCGCGCAGACAATTGTATCTTCGCCAGTTGGAAGAGGAGAGGAAGGAGCCGGAGTTGCGCTAGAATCAGCGCGCGCGCGGGATTCCGAGGTTGAATTGAGGACGTTCGATGCGGGCATAATTCTGCGTTGGCAATTTACGCCGGGTCCTTGGAGCAAAGAAATTCGCTGCGGCAGATGTTTTTGTTTCAGCAGGGGCCATACTACGTATCATGTTATAATTAGCTATCCACTCGTAAGGTAATTAAATAAGGAGGGTAGATTGGAGAGTAATGAAGTTTTACCTGATCTTGGCTGAAAGGCTCGAGAATGGACGCGACACAGGTAGTCGGAACGACACCAAATAAACCACAATAAAGTGTCAAGGAGTCGGGGTTGAACGGGTAGGATAGGTCGTCGGTCAGGGCGTTGATTCGGGGGCTGATCCGAAGCCGCTGTCGGAATATCGAAGCAGGAATTAGGCGAGGTCGTGGTAAAATAATGTCGTGGCAGTTGTCGCGAAGACCGTTGCGCCACGCAGGCAAAGGTGGATGGGCTGACGACCCTGTCTTTCCGACAGCAGTAGAATTAACAGGTGGTCAACTGAGCGGAAATAACGCGTCTGAACGCGGCTAGTTGGCACGGCTGTACAGCGGTATAATTATTATATTATATATCCAGAATATGGGTTGCCGAGCTTAATATGTGCTTGAAATGTAGTATTCCAACCAAAAAATGGGCTATCCATTGATTGCCTTCAAGATGATGTGGCATTTCTTGAGCAAATGTTAACGACATGTAACTATCGAGGTTATATCATCCGAACGAGAAAATCCAGAACATTCGAGCGGCACTACATTTAAATCATGTGCATTATAAAATGGCACTGTTCATGAGCTTCATGGTGTTTTTAATACTCCGTATAGGGTGGCAAGATTGCTGAAACGGTGGCGTATCAGGCACTGTTAGGTCGTTATACCACAATATATGGACGCCCTAACTGCCGTCCTTCGCCTCGATTTCCCCAGCGACGCCCCCGCCAGACGCGGGCGGCGCGGGACTAGGATTTTGCCAGTGGAGTGTGGACGGTGGAATCCAACTGAAACACGCACAACAGACTTTTAAATACGCAGAGCGTCATCACAAGCGCGGCCGAACTCGAAGTTACCGTGTCCGCGCGGGCAAACCCCTAATGATGGGGTCAAAGCAGCTTGTTTATTGATGTGTATGTGAGCCTGCCGAGGAAGAACAGGAAGAGGCCCTTGGTGGGTGGCTTCGGGTATTGACCCTTTCCTCCTGTATGTCCCTTGGCCGCGAAGCGGGTGATAATTTTTTTTCGCCTTACGTTTCGACCATATCGCCATTCATTCACAATTTTTATGAATGAATTGAATGAAGACTCCTGATTTTTGATTCGTCGAATTTGAAGACCTTACCCGATTCGGCTTCATTCAATTCAAGGGTCCCGAGGCCGATTCGACTTCAAAATCTTCAAATATCAGCCCTAAGAAACAGGGGGTAGGAGCAGGGTGGTCCACCTCCACCTCAACCTCTTCAATTTTGTTGAAGTTGAAGTCACGTGCATCAATTCAATCAATTCAACCGAACCTTCACGTTGATGGACTCAATTCCACCTCGACGGCTTCAACGTTGACAACCGGTTGAACACAACCCCTAATGGTGGTGGTTCAGGGTAGCATCCGCAGGTCTGAAGAGGCGTCCTGTGGCTCACACCTTATCCATCAGAATTTATAGGCCCCCAGCTCGTATCCAGTACTTCGAGCGCGTAACGCGTCTCGACTGTCGTCGCGTCGCCTTCAACAAAACATTGCATGCATCCCATTTCTTCTAGGTTCCAAATGGACGCGAATACAATTGTCAAGAGCCGGCGGACTTCGGACTGCAGCATATCCAGCGCGCCACTGACCGACTCGGATCCTTTACCCGACGATTGGAAAACCTTTCCTTGGAATAAATTCCCCGGCTTCACGATTTTTGAACGCGCTGACCGGCAGACCTCGTGGGTCTGGCAGCATGGCTTCGACAATTAAGATCGCGATTCGCGCACGAAGAGGAAATCGGTTTGCAGGCCTTGCCTTCGGCAGCCGAAGCCCAAGATATCAGACTTCTCTGCCCTTGGTACCCAGAACATCGAGAAGCATCTATTAAAGGAGCACAGACTCGTGGACGAGTCCGAGAAAAGGCAGCCTACACTTGCATGGAGCCATGGTCAGGACCTCCACCTCAGGTCAGGGGTTCACGTACGCCGGCGGCAGCTTGGTGGCGCCGTCGAAGCGCTCCGCCGGCTTCAGGCGCGCCAGGTCGACGTCCGGGAAGACGCGCAGGTTGACCGGGTGGTGCTTCGTCGTCCACTCCGCCAGCCCGGCCTGCAAATCGGCTGGCACCTCGTCCTGCTTCGGGTTTGCGTCGTTGGTCATGGCCACGCCGCACACGCGGCAGAACGTCTTGGTCAGGAAGCGCCGCGCGAACGCGTACCGCCCAATGTCAGCCTCGTCACCCGCCAGCACCACCTGGCTCCGCGCCGGGTAGATCCAGTAGTAGGCGTTCTTGCAAAACCCGCGTCAGCAAAATGGGCTGGCCTTCTGCGACCGATTGGGAGGAGGGTGGTTGAGAGGGGGGTTCCTTACCCGTTCGCAGATGCTGCAGTTGCACTCGACGCGCCGCTCGTCAAACGTCTCGTCCAGCGGCTTGCTCACCAGCGCCACGCCCACCCTCCCGCAGTGGCAGCTGCCCGTGTACAGCTTCGTGTCCGTGTCCGTCGCCGCCGCAGACGGCAGTGCGCCCTGGTACGCCGGCGGCTCGTACACGTCCCCGAGCTTCGTGCCGTCGAAGTGCTCCCTTGGGAAGTTCCACAGGTCGAGGCCCTGGATGGCGCGGGCCTGATGTCTGATCAGCTCTGCATTCTCACATATACCATGTGTATGTGTGCATTGTGCCGAAGCGGATATATATATATATATATATATATAGTGAGAAAAGACACTCACGTTCAGCACCCACCGCTTCTCCGGAGGAGCGTCGACAAACTCCGCCATCAGGGGCGTCGCACAGGTAGGGCAAAACTGCATCACACCGACTGGTCAGCTCCACCGCCCGCGGCAGCCAGCCAGCAAGCAAGTAACAGGCGGGCCGACCGACCTTGTGAACCAGCTTCTTGGGCCCAAACGTGTACGACGTCATGTCCACGTCGGAGCCCTTGACGAAGCGAAAGGCGTCGGCGTGCGGGAACAAGCCCAGGTAGCCTTTCTTGTGGCAGATGCTGCAGTTGCACTCGTGCACCGACGTGATCTCCGGCAGCTCTGCCTCGAACACCACTGCGCCGCAGTGGCAGTTTCCGCGGTACGTCCGCATCGTCGCCGTGCTGCTCATGGCCACTGACTGTCCTTATTCGACTGGCGCTGACGATGGCGTGGGGCAGATCCGATAGTGAGTCTCTCACGAGTTAACCATGTATATATATATACTTCAAGCACGAAGCACGGAGCTCGCGTATAATATCTATATATATATACACGTCCATCCCTCGTCCCGAGAGCCCCCCCCCCCTTCTTGTTGGAACTCCCCTCCGGCGCTTACCCCCCCTTCGCACAGCATAGGGCCAATGGCGAGAACCGCAGCGAAGAGGAAAAAGAAACGACAGGCCGCTTCACGCCGTGACTTCGGCTCCTCGCCGCCAACCCCGCCCATCCCGGATGGTCGCGAGGTATCAACCGTTAAGAGCCAACGAGGGCCCGCGTTTCGGCTTAGCTCTTGGTCCGGCCAGTTCGCTACGTCATTGGCACTTTCTTACATCTCACCCCCAAAATACCGCCTGCAGTCTGACGGATGTCCCTCCTCTCGCTTGCATGCATGTCTGTCTGTACATACTGTACGAGGTACATGAAATACCTGGCTCGACTTCTCCAGCAGCACGCGCAAGCCCCCTAACCGTTGGTGCTGGGATAGCATCTACTATGAAAGGGAACAGGACAGCTTCACCGCCGGCGCCCCAACTACACGCACAAATGCCTTGTAGCGCCGGCCAGGACGGAACCTCTTTTCCCCGACCTGTCCCTCGCTCTCTCTGCAGGGGGGCCGGCATGCTGACAGGACCCGAGCCACGACGACAGCGATCCCTGCTCCTACGCCCCCTTCGGCCGATAGCGACGACGGCTTCGTCGTGCTCACGGCTGACGGGGCGTCTGACGTGGCGGGTTCGGCGCCTGGCGCGCTGACTGCCGGCGGCACTGGAAGCGGTCAGTAGCGCTTCGCGCCCCTCTTCGCGTCCTTGGCGTCGGTCTGCGCCTACGCGTTGAGCCGGATCGCCTCCTTGAGCTTGGCCACCACGTCGGGCTGGTTGTTGAAGGCGCCCTTGAGCATGCCGTCGAGTTCGGCCTCGACATTTGCGATGGGCTTGACGCCGGCCTTGCGGCTCTGCGCGTCGTTGATGAGCGTGCCCCAGCGCTTGGTGAAGGCATAGATGGACTGCTGCAGCAGCTCGTTCAGCTGCTCGCTCATGTCCTCGGCCGTCAGCGTCTTGGCCGTCACCGCCGGCGCCCCGCGCGACCACAGCGAGCCGCCCACGACGCTGCCGAAGAAGCTCAGCCAGTTCTGCGGGCTGAGCGTGTCCCAGATGCGCCCAAAGTGCTCCATCGACTGCACCTGGCTGCGGATGTCGCCGATCTCGAGCGAGAACAGCTTATCTACTCCATAGGGGAGCCGAACTCGCGCTTCGGCTACGCAGATGACGTAGCCACCCTGTTCCGGGGTCGATCCCTACAGGAGACAGCCGCGCGGGCCACGCACGCTGCTAGCGAGCTCATACAGTGGGGCGCTGACAACGGCACCTTTAGGTGGTAGTAGTAGTAGTACTAGGGGGGTCTTAAATCTAACCCCCCGTCTCTACGGAACGAGATGTACGAGTGCAGTAGATGACGGGGGGTCGAATTTAAGACCCTAGTAAGGAAGGCTACCCTTTAATGCGTGGGTACACCACGTATGCGTGGGTAGACCCCCTTACTCAGGAGGTCCCCACATTCCGATGTGTATTGACAGAACATTTCACCAACAGATACCGTAAGTGTCACATAGCCAGTCGGTCACAAGATCCATTCACGATAGTTGTTGTGCCAACTATCGTCGGATCCACTGCGAACATAAAAACACCGCAAGAGAGTGCGGGCATTCATTCCGCTCTCTTTTGTTCTTAAGATAATTCTCATCAATTGACTGGTGCTCTCCAGATTGCTTTGCGCGACTGCCGTCGCGGTACCTTATGTGCGACCCAGAAATCTGACAGTAAGCCTTCGAGGTCACCGACGCCACATAACTCAATCAACCTCTGCTTCGAGCCCGGCATGGCGATTGCACCAGCGGTTGGTCACACGCCCGCTGGGGCCAGCGGCACCCGCCGCTATCCAATTGCGACTGCGCCCATGTCGTGACGGCCTAATCGGTGGTGGGCATTCGATTGGGCAGACTTGCGTTCGGTCACGCCACATCTGCAGCGGACAGGCCAAAAGTGGTGGTCTATTTCACGCCGCCCGAGGGGCATGCGGCGGCAGGTGTCTTATCGAATTGCAGCTACCAGTGATCCAGGAACTAGGAGACCAATCGATTGTGAGAGTTGTAGTGTCTTTATGTCCGCCGTCGGCGATAAGTTGCTACAACAACCACCGGTAGCCGCTGGACGTGGCTTCCTGTGAGATGCGAAAAAAAGACACAGAAGCCGAAAGAAAAGGAGGTGGGGGGTTAAGAGCCAAAATGATAATTCTTAGCTGGTATACTTCGGAGGACAGATTTCCTCACAGAAGCGCGTCACCCGCAGAATGATGGGCGTCCTGTCCTTTCCCTTGACGTACCATTGGGTCCCTAGCAGACGCATCTCCAGCTTTCGTGTGGCTCTTGGTCGCTTGCGTGACAGTTCGAGAAACTTTCGCTACCTGTTAGGGTAGGACTGGGCGAGGCGCAAGCGTCCCCCGGCAAGTCTGGCGGCATCGGGCCGAGATATTAGACGGGCGACTGCCGCAATTGTTGGGAATCAGCCCCTCCCCAAATCCTTCCCCTGCTCCTTGAGACAAGCAAGATATTTTGTCGACTTCGCATCTTCTCAGAACCGTCACTCTATTTTCGCCGACGAGGCCCAGCTGATCTCCGCCGACCTGTGTTCCCTATTGGGTTTAGAACCGCGGATGAGGAGATTGCGAGCGAAGAAATTTCCATGGAGGAAGCAGCATCTGGCTGGCAACACTTCGCCGGACATTCTTCAACAGGAGGCAAGCCGCAACCTTAGCCCGCCGGGTCCACCGTCGCGCCACGAGACGGATCCCGGCACATCATCTCAGAGACCCCCAGTTCTCTCCCCAGATGGAGTTAAGATCCTGCACGACTGCCGCGACGCCACAATGGACATTTGCTTTGTCCACGGGTTGACTGGTAATCGGGACAGCACCTGGACCGCTGAAGGGCAAACCACACCCTGGCCAGGGACACTCCTACCACCTAAGCTCCGCAAGGCTCGCATACTCACGTACGGCTACGACGCCTATGTCGTGCATAAATCGGTCGCATCGACAAACGGGCTGAGCGACCATGCTAGGAACCTCTTGAATGACTTGGCGACCGAGAGAACCTGTTCCAACGCGTCGACCGCTAGTCTTTGTCGCCCATAGCCTGGGTGGCCTCGTCTGCAAGGACGCCATTCTCCTTTCCCGAAACAACCCTGAACCACATCTGCGAGGCATATTCGACTGCATCGAAGGCATTGTATTCATGGGCACCCCTCACAGGGGATCCTGGATGGCCGACTGGGCCAAGATACCGGCTTCGGCTCTTGGGATCCTGAAGTCCACCAACAAGTCGCTGTTAAAGATCCTGGAGACAGATGACAACTACCTCCAGTCCGCTCAAGATCGGTTCTGGTCCTTGATACGCGAGCAGCAGAGGGCCGGTCGGGATCTCGAGATTACATGCTTCTTCGAAGAACTGCCTTTGCCTGTGGTCGGAAAAGTCGTCTCGAAGGATTCGGCCACGCTAGAAGGTTACAATGCGATCAGCATCTACGCCAACCACGGCAGCATGGTCTAGTTTAACTCCGCGGACGACAATGGTTTTAAAAGGCTGCTTGGGGAGCTGACTAGATGTGAATCACAAATCAGGGATTCAGCTGCCAGTCGACCAACACGATCGATGGAAGTGGCACAGATCGAGAAGCCAGTCACCTCGTCCTTTAACAGCTATGGCCCTGGCGACCAATTCAACGCTCCTGGCGGCACCCCAAACATCAGCAAAGGCAGTGGCAACCAGTTCCCTGGGGCCACTTTCTCTGGGTCCGTGCTATTTGACTGAAGTCCTCAAGAACATGTGTCTGAAGATATCTACGCAGAGGGCAATCAAATTGGTTGCGAATAAAAACCCGAGACATATAATTTATCACATTGCTTCGCGATTCTTGCCTAACACTTCGAGGAATTGAGCCGTGACCATCCTTGAGCCATGGTAGCGAACCCACAATAAAGCCTGCTCTCAGTACCTGGGCCCGGCTATGCACGCAGTCAAGAGACCGGACAGCGGATCCCAGTTATTCTGCGGTAAGGTTTACAAATAGCAACTTCTTATGACGGATTCTGGCCAAAAGTCAGAGGCGCATGGAAACTAGCCCCGGGGAATTGGTTGCCACTGCCTCTGGTGATATTCTGAGTACCCCGCCAGCTCTCGCGAAGAGAGGGTGCAAGTGATGAATAGATTATGTTCCTTGTCCTTAGATTCTTCTTCCTCCCTAACAAAAAGTGACTTCTTACAGTTCTGTCACCTGTGGCTGCCTTGTGGTGGCGATTTCGCCACCCAGGCCGCCTAGATGACGTTGTCATCTAGAAGGTTCGATACCACCGCTTAACAACAACATTATTCATCCTTCTCAGTCACCTTTGCTAGAGTCAGCCCGACTAGGTAACCTTCGGACCTAGATCGTTAACCCGTTTTCACGACACCAGCTGCGTTGAATTGGTCACCAGAGCCATAGTGGGTGAAAGTGTTGGCCGACTTCTCCTTTGGCAAGGACGGTTCCATATTTGACAACTAACTTGTCGATCGCATCGTGCAATCCCTTGACTTGATCTTCCATTCCTGGTGTGATCGCACCGTTCTCGGGAATCTCGGCCAAGGCGCATACGTCTTCCATCATTCCCACCACCAAGACCTCCACCGTCCTACCCTGGCCTTCCTGTCTCGCGGCAGCTTTGTAACCCTCGAATCTCGAAGTCTGCGGTTGCGGTGCCTGCGGGACGGCCTTGAATATGTTCTCTGACATCTTTGCCTTGGTGTTGCGCTCCTTCATGGCGTTATGGGGATTTCCGGCTAGGTTGCGTCCGGCTAGTTGAACGCAGGCAGTATGAAGAGCCTTCTGAACAAGGCGCAACCCTCGACCTGCTTCATGGAAAGCGTTTCGGAAACCCTTATCATCCTTAACAGCATTGTAGTGATGTATGGCGGCCTCAAGAGTCGCAACCGTGCCCAAGTTCCAGTCTGTGACGGCCGTTGCCATAATGTGACAGAATCCGGGTAGGGGTTTAAGTTTACCATCCACAGAGAAGATTGCGAGAAGGGTATTCACGGAATATATCGGCTTCAACAGGTTCAGCGAAGGGAAAAGAAGAGCGCCCAATAAAAAAACATTGGGCTTCTTCTGTAGGAGGTTCCCTGTAGGGGGTAACCACCAACCGCTGTCCAGGTGGTAAACTGTCTGCTGTAGTCGCCAAAATTACCTAGGCTCACCGTGGCGGCTTTTATGCACGTCAGCAGAATGCACGGGTCCGAAAACCTCAATGCATTGTAGGAAGAGCCCAAACCATTCAGAACGGGCCCCAAATTGTTACTCGGAGTATGACGTGGTCGGAGATGGAGCTGAGAGCAAGCCGAGCCACGCAACAATGTCCCGGACCGCCTGGTGGAACCCAAACCCAAAGGGCTACCCGTGGCATGGCTCTTGTCGCATCGTCCGCCCTGTCGATGCCTCATCCTTCATTGTCAACAGAGACGGGTGGAACACCACAGTTCCTCTCCGACCTGCTCAAATTTTGGTAAGCACAACACCATAAAGGTACACTCGCCCCGCCCCCTTTGGGACGCGATTCACCAGACAACCCTGGATCGTTCCCTTCCTCTGCTGTTACCCCACAGCAAAGCGTGGTCGTGTGGCCTTCGCCCGGACCGCTGCTAACAAGCGACTAGCCGCTGAAGGCTACGATGGGTGAAGAAATTTTACAGGGGCGAGTTGAGGCCGTGTTCAAGTTTGGGCATCTATCACCCAGCTTGCGTGGCAAGTTGTGGTTGGCGAGCGTCGAACTGCAAACGAACACAGCCCTGTTGTCTTACCCGTGCCACGCCCCACTTATTTCGCACGTTAGTTTTAACGTGCGAAATAAGTGGGGCGTGGCACGGGTAGTCTCCATGGCATTATTGGCTCGCTCCAAAAGCGGCTGTCTCTGTTCCCACAATTTTGACGTTGACGACCAAACAAAAACAAGTATTTGAAGATCTACTCGGGGGTTGACGAGCCGGGGTCCTGCAAGCCCCCCTCTCCTCTGGGGGGCACCTCGAGTATGGCCATTTCTCACGTAATTGCCTTTTTTCTCTATTTTCGTCTCGCCAGGAGCGGGTGCCTGCGGGGACTGTTTCTTGGTAAGCCTTTTGTTTGTCGGGTCTTCCCAGCTGGGATCAGCTCAAATTCATCATTAGCCTTACCGTGACGATCCACGTCTTCTCTTCAGCGCTCCATCGATTGAACCAACACGCCCCGAACGATGGAGAAACTCAAAGCGATTTTTAAGTCTGGGAAGAAGCGGCCAAAGACTCCCTACAGTCCGAGAAGCGACCGATCGGAAAGCACCAGCGGTGACCGTACCCAACCCAATCAGCAACCACAACCCGAGACAGAACACCCTGGGCCATCTCCGGAGAACCTTCCTGTCCCCTGCTTCGATGGAGTTGAAGTATTGCACGAAGTGGCACAGATCAAGAAGCCAGCCAACTCTTCCTTTAACAGCTATGGCCGTAGCGACCAATTCAACGCTCCTGGCGGTACTCAGAACATCAATGTATACGGTAAGAATGAGCTCTTCGTCGAAGGGATGAATTTTTCAGTTTTTAATAATATATTACACAGGCTCGAAAGAATCCCCACAACCGTTGCAAGATTGCTTGAAATCTCTGGCTTTTCCGGAAATGTTGGATCGGTTCGAGGACATCGGCTGCGCCGCCGAGGGAACATGCCTGTGGCTGCTTCAACACAAATCGTACAGGAGATGGACCGATTGCGACCGAGGCCTGCTCTGGATCAAGGGGAAGCCTGGATCCGGGAAATCGACATTGCTACGGTATGCCTACGACAAGATGAAGTCCAACATCAGAAAGGAAGACCTAATTCTCAATTTCTTCTTTCACGGTCGCGGCGCTGACCTTCAAAAAACTCCGCTCGGCCTCATCCGGTCGCTCCTTCACCAGGTCCTTGAACAGGTTCCTGGCGCGCTGCAGGATCTTGTCGCCAAACATAAACAACGGTGCGACAGTGTTGGTAAAGAGGGCGATAAATGGCATTGGCATGCCAATGAGCTCCAACGGTTCTTTCGGTCGTCGCTTCCAACGGTCTTGAAGAGCCACCATGTATGGCTATTTGTCGACGCGCTGGACGAATGTGGCGAAGAAGGTGCGGTCGACCTAGTCCAGGAGTTCGAGTCCTTGCTTCAAGGGCTCCCCACTGGTTTACAGTTTCACATCTGCTTCACTTGTCGTCACTATCCCATTCTGGCTCTGAATTGCGAACTCAAAATATGCGTCGAGGATCGAAACAAAAGTGATATTTCTACATACGTTGAGGCCCGGCTTGCCAAATTTGATGCCCCAACGCGATCTGCGATTTCAAACCTAGTAACGACTCGCGCCTCTGGTATTTTCATGTGGGCACATCTCGTGGTAAAACGCGTATTGAAGCTTGAGCGGGAAGGGGAAGGGTTCAAGAGGATCGAAGAAGCAGTCTATGCCATACCTCAAGGCCTGGACGAGCTATACAGGAACCTTGTTGGAAGCATGAACGACAGACTGGCGTCCCTGAAATTAATCCAATGGATCTGCTTTGCCACGCGGCCGCTATCACTGGACGAATTGCGATGGGCCATGGCCGCCGACGCTGATTGTCCGCATAAGTCATTACATCAATGTCAAAGTGCGGCAGATTACGCAAAAGACAGTGGCATGATGGAGAGGAAGGTGAAAACGCTCAGCTGCGGTCTTGCCGAGGTTGTAGAGTCATCAAACGCACAGGTGGTGCAGTTTATCCACCAGTCGGTTAAGGACTTTTTCGTCGACAAAGGCCTATCAGCTCTGGATGGCAACTTACGTACGATTGAGACCGAAACCGGAGTCGCACACTATCGGATGTCCAGGACCTGCATTCGGTACTTGGCAATGGAGGAAGTTGCTCAGTCAATAGCCAGCAATCACCACCTGGAGGCAGAATTTCCTCTACTGCGCTATGCCACGATGTCATGGATAGCACACGCGAAACACAGCGAGGCAAAGGTCTCGCAAGAAAATCTTCTAGACGACTTCCACTGGCCGTTAGAAGACGTTGTGCGAACATGGGTACTAATATACTCTAAAATAGAGACATACTCACGCGACTGCCCACCAGAAGGTATCAGCTTGTTACACATAGTGTCGCGATATCAGTTGATGGGGCTGTTACGGATAATTCTACAAAGGGCAGACCAGGCTGGCACTGATATCAATCCGAAGAATGTTCATAGGCGAACTCCACTGTTGTACGCCGCAGAGAGAGGCCACGAGACTGTCGTACAAGAGCTGCTGCTGAAGAAGGCTGACGTCAATGTCCAGGACATAATTGGAGCCACGGCATTGCACTGGGCGGCCCCCAGAGGACACAAGACGATGTCACTTCTTTTGAAGAATGTAGCTAATATTGAGGCGACCGACAAAGCTGGGGGTACGCCATTAGCCTGGGCAATTGAAGGTGGGTCGGACAGTAGCGTCAGGAAGCTGTTGGAGAACGGCGCGAGAGTAAACTACTGGTATAAGTTGGTAAGTCGTCTAAAGTCCGAGGATGGCAAATATTCCACTTGCACGGAGCCGACTTGAACGAATGGGTGGCTGACGCTGCCGCCTCGGCCGGTATAGTGGGTAAGTGAACCTGGCAAACGCGGCTGGCGCGGAGCCGACTTGAACGAATGAGTGGCTGACGCTGGTCTGCCTCGGGGTCTGCCTCGGCCGGTATAGTGGGTAAGTGAACCTGGCAAACGCGGCTGGCGCGGAGCCGACTTGAACGAATGGGTTGCTGACGCTGGTCTGCCTCGGGGTCTGCCTCGGCTGGCATAGTGGGTAAGTGAACTTGGCGAACGCGGCTGGCGCGGAGCCGACTTGAACGAATGGATGGCTGACGCTGGTCTGCCTCGGCCGGTATAGCCGGTAAGTGAACCTGGCGAACGCGGCTGGCGCGGAGCCGACTTGAACGAATGGGTGGCTGACGCTGGTCTGCCTCGGCCGGTATAGTGGGTAAGTGAACCTGGCGAACGCGACTGGCGCGGAGCCGACTTGAACGAATGGGTGGCTGACGCTGGTCTGCCTCGGCCGGTATAGCCGGTAAGTGAACCTGGCGAACGCGGCTGGCGCGGAGCCGACTTGAACGAATGGGTGGCTGACGCTGGTCTGCCTCGGCCGGTATAGGATGTAAGTGAACCTGGCGAACGCGGCTGGCGCGGAGCCAACTCGGAGCCGACTTGAACGAATGGGTGGCTGACGCTGGTCTGCCTCGGCCGGTATAGGATGTAAGTGAACTTGGCGAACGCGACTGGCACGGAGCCGACTTGAACGAATGGGTGGCTGACGCTGGTCTGCCTCGGCCGGTATAGCCGGTAAGTGAACCTGGCGAACGCGGCTGGCGCGGAGCCGACTTGAACGAATGGGTGGCTGACGCTGGTCTGCCTCGGCCGGTATAGGATGTAAGTGAACCTGGCGAACGCGGCTGGCGCGGAGCCGACTTGGACGAATGGGTGGCTGACGCTGGTCTGCCTCGGCCGGTATAGTGGGTAAGTGAACCTGGCGAACGAGGCTGGCGCGGAGCCGACTTGAACGAATGGGTGGCTGACGCCGGTCTGCCTCGGCCGGTATAGTGGGTAAGTGAACCGGGCGAACGCGGCTGGCGCGGAGCCGACCTGAACGAATGGGTGGCTGACGCTGGTCTGCCTCGGCCGGTATAGCCGGTAAGTGAACCTGGCGAACGAGGCTGGCGCGGAGCCGACTTGAACGAATGAGTGGCTGACGCTGGTCTGCCTCGGCCGGTAAAGCCGGTAAGTGAACCTGGCGAACGCGGCTGGCGCGGAGCCGACTCGGAGCCGACTTGAACGAATGGGTTGCTGACGCTGGTCTGCCTCGGCCGGTATAGGATGTAAGTGAACCTGGCGAACGCGGCTGGCGCGGAGCCGACTTGAACGAATGGGTGGCTGACGCCGGTCTGCCTCGGCCGGTATAGGATGTAAGTGAACCTGGCGAACGCGGCTGGCGCGGAGCCGACTTGAACGAATGGGCGGCTGACGCTGGTCTGCCTCGGCCGGTATAGCCGGTAAGTGAACCTGGCGAACACGGCTGGCGCGGAGCCGACCTGAACGAATGGGTGGCTGACGCTGGTCTGCCTCGGCCGGTATAGCCGGTAAGTGAACCTGGCGAACGCGGCTGGCGCGGAGCCGACTGAACGAATGAGTGGCTGACACTGGTCTGCCTCGGCCGGTATAGGAGGTAAGTGAACCTGGCAAACGCGGCTGGCGCGGAGCCGACTTGAACGAATGGGTGACTGACGCTGGTCTGCCTCGGCCGGTATAGTGGGTGAGTGAAACCGATTGGTCATTACATAGACACCTTTTAACGATGCTAGACTCCGCTTATGCGGGCTGTGGCGAGAAAAAATGAAACTATTGTCAAGTTGTTGCTTGAGAAGGGCGCTAAATCAGACTCAGAGGACAGCAATGGTCGGTCAGCACTGTTGTTGGCAAACGAGAGAGGCAACTCGATCATTATTAAGCTGCTGGAAAGTTGGCTCCACGTGGGGTCAGAGGTGGGCTCAGGCAATAATTGATGAGTATTATCTAAGGAACAAAAACTGATTGAGCGGATGCATGGAATCGTGATGGTAAGTGAACCTGGCGATCGCGGCTGGCGCGGAGCCTCGGGCTTGTGAAGTGCAGCTATAGCGGGGATTCGACTCATTTATACTTGGTCCCTGCGATTTTGGGAACCTTCTAGAACCTAGGGTTGACTTCTGGCAAAGATCATTTGCCACCCTCAATGCCCTACTCTACCAAGCCTGCTGTTGACTCGACTTTGTTTCCCGTCCCAGAGGTCTCGAGAGCAAAAGTGGACGTTATAACCCGGGATTTTGTGGGTGTTGGGCTCACATAACCCCTTGTTATTAAACCTTCTTTGCTTTTGGACTCGGATAATGCCCCACTTTCTTTTGTCCCATGCAGAAACCTGTTTTTTCCCCTATAAGTGCAAAAGATGGGGAAGGCGGGCGGTAACAAAGAGTGCATTTCCCCGCGCCACTTTAGTAGTTCTTAACTCGTGATTGGTGTGCACTATTGTTGCACTGTTGGTCTGATGTGCTGCTAATGCATCATCGCTCGTTGGTGGGCCCCACTGTAACCTATTGGGCGAAGGCACCAGCGTATCAAAGAGCATGGACCAAAACGCTTCAGTATGGACCGTTAATGGGCCATGTACTAATCAAGAGAAAATCATACTAACACAATAGCCTTCAACTTGGCAGACCGCGCTTCAGTCGCTGAAGGTAGGACGCTGAACACTTGGAGAAACTGACCTTCAAGCAGGCCTGACATGTCACAGCGAACGAGGCTGGAAACAGATGAAAAGAAGCGTGGGGCTTGGGGTGAGATGGAACAATGTACAGTAGGTCCGTAGCTTAGCGTAGTGGCCCTATGGGGGAACCCTCCGGGCGTAATACAACCAAAAAAAAAAAGAGCATGGACCGGAAAGAAGGACGTCATCTGGGCTATGGAGGCTGAGTCTGATCAATAGGAGCTAGCGTATGATTTCAAAGGTGACAGGTCTGCAGGTCTAGGTGGCATGCAAAAACCCATGTATGTCGGTCAGGTGGTTCCCACCGACTGGATGTTTCTTTCGCCGGAGTTACCCTACATACATTCGATGCGTAGCACGTGAATGCGGCTCTCAACCCTTCCCTGCATTTTTACTTTCTTGGCACGCAAGTGTTAAGGAAGTAGCCTATCCATACAGCTTTTCGCTTAACAGTGCTCTTGAAAATTCCGCAACAGCGCCGCGCAAAGCGCCGGCAGCGGCCATGGCACCAGCCTCAGGTTCGCGCGCCGCTCCTGTGCTGTCGACATACAATCGCCACCTGATCTAGCAGCCCGTGCATCTCAGCACCTACTGTCCTCTCCGGCGGAGGCTCGCCCAAATGTCTCAACCCTGGCGGCTCAGCAGCTCCTCGACCGACGTCTCCCAGCGACACGCCCAACGCTGCCGTCGCGGAAGGAACGCAGCCGGAAATAATCCCGAATGGCCCTGGTTCGACCGGGTCCACGGAAAATGCACCTGTCTCCATCATCGAAGCGGCTACAAAGATCGCTCGCGACCAAACGGCAGCCCATGATGCCAAGCTGGCAGTCTTTCGGGCCTTTAGCGAATCATTCGAACAGACAGCCAAACAATTCACGTCCGGCTCCCACAATAGCATCGCAAAGCAAGTTGCCACCAAGTTTCTGAACCTCTGGACTCAATCGCTCGCCGACCTTGAGGAACCACCGAAACCTACGTACAGCAGCGTTCTCGCATCCGGCAAAACGACACAAGGACAGCTGGCCATTACGGCCTCCGCCCCACCACAGCGAAAACAGCGCGACCGCCCGTGGTCCCACCCAAGGAAGACCTGCGTGTCTTTGTCCGACTTGACGCCGATGCTCCGGCCCGAAACCATGAAAGATACGCTATCCGGGCCCACATCGCCGCTAGAGTCGGCATCGACCTACGCCGCATCCCGGCAGCCTTCCCGGTAAACACGGGTTGGGCCATCCTGGCATCGGATGTGGCCACGCGCGAACTACTCGTGCAGCGACAGGCGGATTGGGCCGTAGATCTGGACGCGACGGCCGTAGAGATTAGCCAGAAATGGCATTCGTATGCCGTAGCCGATTGCCCCGTAGGCTCACGGACCTACGCGGCGTTGAGATCAACTTCGATGAGGCGGTCAAAGAAGAAATTGCCTGCCAAACCGGACTGAAGCCCATCAGCATACGGACCTCGCGACACGACTCGGGCGATATGCCTACCAAGACCCTTATTGTATCCTTCCTGGAACCCACGCAGAGACCCTGGCGACTGTTCGGCGCCAGCCGGTTCGCCCGCTATATCGACAAGCCCAGCATTCCTAGCCAATGTGACAAGTGCTGGGATTTCCACTCGACACAGCTGCGATCGAACGGCGCGCTGCAGGCGTTGTGGCAAACCGGCCATCGTAGCCAAGAATGCACCGCCCTCGAGCAGTGTGCAAACTGCCTTGGACCCCATTGCGCGGATGACCCCAAATGCCCTGCCCGCCCCAAGCGCGTTCACGGCATGGTCCGGCGCCTGACGAAGGAGGAGAAGAGCCTGGTACGGCAGATGGGAGTTCAGCTCTCTGCGCAGCAGAAGCGGCAGACTCAAAGGCCAGAGTGTCCGACCAGTCTGATCAGAGCCCTGGCAGGCCGCAGATACTTTCCTTGAGTCAACGGCGCCGCGGGCAGCTGGAGGAGATGGAAGCTCCGACATGGGCGCCATTTACGAGCCAGCCGCGCCGTCAACCCCATGCATCGTTGTGGCCACAACGCCGCCGCATGTAAGGGACGGCGACCAGTTCCTCCCTGTCGTCCCATCGAAGAAACGACGCACTAGTCCTGTGACGCTACCCTAATGCCTCGCTGTTTTCCACGCAATCGAAGCGATAGGAGGATCTTGCGAATCTTCCAAGCCAACGTAGGCAAGATTCCGCCGGCACACGATTGTGCCCTTGCGTTGGCCGACTCGGAACAATACGACATTATTTTGTTGCAGGAGCCATGGACAGGACTGAAAGATGGCCGATGCCTCACTAAGACGCATCAGGCCTACGACACCTTCTCACCCGTCAACGACTGGGACGGCCGCGACACTCGCCCGAGAGTCATGACATACGTCCGGCGTTCCGCAGGTCTCGTCGCTGATCAAAAGAGACCTGCGGCGACTCGTGACATCCTTTGGCTCACCGTCAACGGCATAACAGTCGTCAACTTCTATCGGCAGCCGTACCACGACGGAGCCCTTGAAATCTTGCTTCAGTGGACCGTACCGGACAAGTGTCTTGTTGCTGGTGATTTCAATGCCAAACATCCCAGCTGGCAGGCCGGTCGACGAGAGGACCGCGGCGAAGAAATAGCGTTTTGGGCAATGGACAATCGACTCGGCTTACTGAATCCTGTCGATGTCCCGACCAACGCACACGGCAATACGGTTGATCTCGCCTTCTGCAACATACCTCTGGCCGACGCTGTTGTCGAGGATCATCTAGCAACCGGCTCCGATCATTTTACCCTTAGTATCACGCTGCCAGGACAAGTTCTGGCACCCCTTCCAATAGGAAAGATCCATCTCAACTCCGACGAGGAATTGAAGCGATTCATTGAATTAGTGGAGGCCGGTGCCGCCTTCATCCCGATCACCACGGCATCTCCTTCCGAGCTCGACAGCTTTGCGTCGGCGCTCGTGAACCTTCTTGGTTGTGCAGCCAGAGCTGCCGGTCGACCTGCCCGTAAGACTACGCATGGTGCGCGGTGGTGGACTGAAGAATGCGCAAAGGCGGCGGCCAATTACCGCGCGTGGAGGAGAGTTCACTCTCTCTTCGACCGAGAAGTACAGCTAGCCAAGAGGAGCTCCATAGCGTGGTGCGCCGGGCCAAGCGCCTTTACTGGCGTAACTTGATTGACAGCTTCACCGATAGCGCCTCCGTCTTCAGGGCGGTCCGCTGGCTGAAGTCTCCAGGTCCGTTTCAAGCTCCTCCTGCAAATTGACGACCGAGTGTATGAGACGCAGCTGGAAAAGGCCACCGCCTTGCGACAAGCCACTCTGGAACGGCGCACGGCGAACGACGACATCCCAGATCCGTGGATCTCCGTGAACACAGATAGGACGATACCCTTCACCGACCGAGTCTCTCCGGAGGAGACCCGCGACGCCACGCTACGCACCGGGAATACGTCCCTGGTCCCGACAATATTACGGTGCGGATGCTCCGCGCTGTCTGGCATGCGATCGGAAGTCTCGTCCACCAGCTATATCAAGGCTGCCTCAGGATTGGCCACCATCCGAAGCCCTTCCGAGAAGCAGAAGTGGTCATGATTGCCAAGCCGGGGCGCAGGGATCTCTACACCCCGCGCTTGGCGCCCCATCTCCCTTTGTCCTGTCTCGGCAAGGGCCTCGAGCGGCTCATCGCACGGCGTCTAGCGTGGGCCTCGGTCCATTTCGGCGTACTACACCCACAACAAGCCGGCGCGCTCCCGAAGAGATCGGCCGTGGATCTCGTTGCTGCCTTGATTCATGACATCGAGGAGGCATTTGCCTGCAAGCAGGTTGCAACATTGGTGACTTTGGACATTCAGGGCGCCTTCGACACAGTCCTCCGCAACAGATTGATCCTTCGCCTACGGGAGCAAGGGTGGCCACCGAACCTCGCGCGATGGGTCGGCTCGTTTATGCAAGACAGGTCGGCACGCATCCGCTATCAAGATATCGCAACGAATTCATCGCCTCTCCAGTGCGGGCTGCCACAGGGATCGCCAGTCTCGCCGATCCTCTTCCTACTGTATACGGAACCAATCTACCGCTTGGGCAGCTCAAAAGGGCGTTTCGGCTATGCGGACGACACTGCCATCCTTTGCGTCGGCGATAGCCTGGATGAGACGTCCGCCGAAGCATCTCATCATGTGCGTGAGCTTGTATCGTGGGGCGCCGCCAACGGGATCTCCTTCGACCCTGAGAAGACAGAAGTGATGCACTTCTCTCGAACGACGCCCAAGACGGCGCCGCCAGTGCTCCATGGCGAATTTGAGAAACGGCCGGGCCGGGCGATGCGTTGGCTCGGCGTCTGGCTCGACAGCACTCTGTCTTTCAAGACTCATGTCGAGAAATGGACGGCCAAAGCGCAAGCAGTCGCCTTCCATCTCAGGAGACTGACAAACACCAGGCATGGTCCTCTACCGAGCGCTGTGCGACGAGCGGTCTGCGCTTGCGTCATTCCAGTGCTGCTCTACGCGGCGGAGGTCTGGTATCCTGGTTCTACGCGCCCGCGCTGGACCAAGCCGGGCAAGGAAGGACCGTCCAGGATCGGACACCTCGTAAAGAAGATGAGCAAGGCACTCTACACATCTCTTCGGGCTATCCTGCCAGTGTGGAGAACTACACCAACGAATGTTCTGCACCGGGAGGCAGGGATACCGCCGGTCCCTCTGCTGCTCGAGGCGCGCCGGACTGCATTTGCTGCGCGTCTCAAATCCCTGGACGAAGCTCATCCGCTCGTGAAGCGCACGTCGAGGCCAAAAGCCCCTACTGAATGAAATGATCAAGCTGAAGTACCAAAAGCAGCCAAAACCCTTCCGGACTAGGCTGCGGCGCTCCGACGAATTGCTACCAAGCTGCCCAAGGCCTGCCTTGCTGCAGCGCGGATTTGTCGAAGAGCAGACTGCGCCTCTGCAGAGTGCATCGAAAAATGAGACGGCGAAGAAATTTCGCGATTGGCTCCAGGCACTATCGCCCCGAACTCTGGTCGTCTATTCCGACGGGTCCCGTTCTACCGAAGGCCACGCCGGATATGGCTATGTTGTTCATCGGGACGGATCCACCGTCTTGCGCGACAAGGGCCGTCTCGGGCCCGCCGAGATTTTCGACGCTGAGGCGAAAGGTGCGTTGGAGGTTGAAGGCTGCGGTGAGCCTTCCAGAAACTGACCGCATCTTTGTCTGCCTCGACAACCTCGCGACCGCAACATGCTTACGGGGCACGCCGAGCGACTCCTCGCAAGAGGTCTTCCTTGAGTTTCAATCTTTGGCGCGAAAATACGGAGCTGTGGAGGTCCATTGGATCCCCGGCCATGCTGACATCCCAGGCAACGAGGAGGCTGATGCTCTGGCAAAGGCGGGAGCATCACTGCCAGAACCCGCTGATAACGTCCCGACGCTAGCGCACCTGCGAAAGATTGCCCGACAGCAGCCGGAAGAGGCTTTCAAGGCCTGGTGGGAAGCCTCTGCGCCGGAGCGATACAGAGACCTGAGGCTTAAAGCCACAACCAGCTGCCCGTCAGAATTGGCGCTCTCTCGGCCCCTGCTTCGTAACTTGCTTGCAGCAAGAACCCACCATGGGGATTTTGCTGACTACCACGAAAGGTTTGGTCACGACAATGCGCGACTGACGTGCTCGTGCGGAAGACGAAAGAGCCAGCACACATCTTTTACTGCAGAAAGGTTGCGCCACGGCATCGTATGCGGCTTGCACCTTGGCCGGCTGCAGCCATCAACCGCGCAATCGGCAAGGACTTTGACAAATTCGTCAGGCTGGCGAAAGCGAGCTCCTTCTTCGGAGGATCTGCCCACGCCACTAGACGGTCATCATTCTCCTCTCACCCCTACCTTTTCCTCTCAATCCTTTCTGTTACCTGCTCCGATCTCGGGCGGCGTCAAGGTCTCGCGACCATGCGATCGCCGAGGTCATCAAGGGCTGCAAGGCCCCAGAAGCAAATTGGCTGATCTGACCACGGGACAGCTTTCTCTTCATGCCTGGACGTCCCGCTGACGGGCAACAGGTTTGTCATGAGCGCCGTTGAGCCGATGAAATGCTGGATAGTGGGTGAAGTGTACGATATGTAGCATGTAGACACCTGCTAGCTCAGCACGTCCTGTGCTCCCCTGCGGAGACCTGAGCGACCAAAAGTTGCTGGACGGAAAATACACTAAACTAAACTAAACTAAGTGAATGCGGCTCGCTGTACGACCGCCGCAAAGTTGCCTCCCTTCCTCGCTCCACCTCTTATTGCGAAGCGGCAGCTGGGGCACTATTACTCGCCCTCGCTTACCGATGCGCATCGCCCGGGTCCAGTTCAAAATACGACACGCTAACATGTAGACGCGGTCTTCGCCCGCAGTCTTCGCCGAAATGGGAACCCTGCGCCTCGTATATGCGTACGATTCCGTTACTGGTTGCAAGGGCGGCAACAACCAAGAACCAACAACCGGCCTCTAAGGCCAATCGGAGGTGTCCCGCCCTGTAGAACTTCACTACTTACCGAACCATCATCCTTCAGCACGAGCGTGCATGACTTGCTACTATATGTGTTGATGCCTGTGCCTACCAATCAAGCCTGCGCGGCTGGGTCTCGGGCTTGCTATGGTGCCGTGCCGCTGTACAGTTCAAGTACCTACTGATTATTCCGAGCACCGTTTTGATCGAGTGTGGTGAAAGCATCGATGGATTTCTTCTGTAAGAGATGAATGTACGGCCTCACTATTGTTGGGCTAGTAACTTACCTGTGATTGTCGAGTATTCAAAAAAAAGGCCACTACAATTTCTGTCAGTTAAAACTGACAGGTTACAGTGGATGAAAAAGATGATTGATTGTCTGTCTAAATTATGGTAAGATGTTTGCTTCTTATAGTGCTTTGTTTTGCCCTAGGTGGCGATGTTGCCACTTGCCACCTAGGCTGCTTAGGTGACGTTGTTATCTAGAACGTTCGACACCATCGCTTTAATCCTTAGTAATGTGGCAGCGACATTATTGCGCAGTTTATCCAACAGAAGCTGCCTCCGACTCCGACTCCGACCCCGTCTCCAACAGGTCACAATCCACCACAACAGGCTTTTTTGGACTCCAAAATTCGGGAATGGCTTCTCCGACCGCCAAAGCTTCAGCGAGATCCATGAAACGTCTGTTGGGGTTCGGAATTGCCCTTCTCTTCCTTCCCTCTTTAACCTGTCCACTTCTTCCTCGAGCTTGGCTATTTTGCTGTTATGCTCTGCTAGTGTCTGTTCCTGCGTTTCCCAGCCTTTAGCTATCTTAGTATACCGTCTCCGGGTCGCAGGCGTTTTGCTCTTGCCAAGGTCACGAATATGGCGGCTTGTTTTCGGCGTATCGTCTGACCCCAAATATGGCCTATATTCTGGAGAAGCCTTGACCCTGTCCTGTTGGATTTCAGGGTGCCGCAGCGCCTTCACTCGTGAGATTGGCCAATTCCCGGTCACTCTCCAGCCAGACAATATGTTTCTGAGTCATTCCCATCTCACGGGCTCTCGCGTACGCACGTATAAAGTTGACCTTATCAACTGGCGCAGAATCCGTCAAAGAAGCCAGTCTGTCAAGCTCCTTCCGATAGGCTGCCTTTATGGCATTGAAAACACCGTTGTCTAGCGGCTGGAGGCCATGAGAACAGTGAGATGGAAGGTAACAACAATAGATATTGTTCAAGAAGCACGTAGCCATCCAATTGTTCTGTAGTCAAATTAATGGGACTTCATTGCAATATACGGAAACGACGCACCGTTGCATGACTTCCATGTCCATCCAAAATGATAAGCCTAGCCTCAGACTCGTCAGAAGGTCGTGTTTGGGGCAAATAGACCTCCTCAAGCCATTCAACAGCGATGTTGTTGTCCGTCCACCCGTTGGGCGAAGTTATGTAGTGCCAGTCCGCAAACTTGCGAAATTCTTGCTTAAACCACTGTTTCTGAAGCTCTTTGCCCTTAAATATAATGCCTGGAGTCAAGGCGCGCCCATCGGCGGTGATAGCCTCTATAAAAGAGGTCCAGCCGCGGGACTGGGGCCCCTTGAGATGAGCCTTCCGTTTAGGGTCTGAACTTCCAACAACCAGACTGTCCAGACCTGGCAAAAGAAGTGCGATTAGCTGGATTCGTGTAAAGATAGTCAAATGCATACCAAATCCCACATAATTCCCCCTTCATCAACATTCACGGTGTTCTCTGGCTTGATCCACCCGTTCTCTTTCTCCCTGATGTAAAAGCACCAATGCACCGCTTTAGGGGTAAATGAGTTGAATTTGTTGTGTTGTCCGCACCTGCGGATTGAAAGGATGAGTGAGCAATCTATTGATGCTTGTCTATCTAGCTACAGATGTGATGATGATCCGAGTCTATATAGACTCAGGCGACGGAGTCGTCATATCCATGGAACCTTCCAGATCCCACTGGAGTCCTCCAACATGTTGGCTTCTTGACGTCTTCCAATATTATTCTTGAGCTCTGGATGGCGTCTAATGAATTTGACCACCCAGTGAACCCCTAAATGCGACTCACCTTGTTGTTTCAAAACAGCTGTGACGCAAGCGCGGATCTGACTCTGAGACGGAGCATAACCCACAGACTCTTGACGAAGTATCCAGGCGACTAATTTGGCCTCCTGATCTCTGTATAAGTGTTGTTGTGGCTGGCTCTGGTCAGCTAATGCCGACTGACCTCGCATTCTGCTGGAAATAGTCCTCTGGGGTATTCCCAATTTCTGAGCGGCCTGGTGCTGCGAAAGACCGTTATCCGTAATATCGAAAATTGCCTCAACCATCAAATATTCCGTCTATGTCGAACGGCGCCGTTTTGAAGCCATTTGTGAGAGGTGGTGGAGGATGAGCAAGTGAGGAAAGGAAAGGAGGCAGGAGAAGATTAGGGGAAAAAATTGCCATTTTGCGATGCTAGGGTGTCACGGACCATGAGGACCGGGATAACCAAATGACCTTCGAAAATGTATCTCTAGCCATTTTCATTTACTTGCGAGGTTGCCGCTTGTGAATTGCTTCTCAATTGAGCAGATCCCGTATAAGTGAAGTTGGTCAATTTTGTATGGGGCGGTGGTATTTTTGCTGAGCATAAGGGGGGTGTGAGCGAAAGGGGGGTGTCGGATGGTAGACGTTCACGAAGCCAAGAGACACGCCGAGGGCTCAGACCAGCCTACCGTGACGATGATTGTGTCGTTAAAGGAGGCTATACAGGAGAGATGGCGACTCTTCGGCACTTGCCGATTAGCGCGACCGATCACCAAGAACCCCCGACCTACCCAATATGACAATTGCTGGGACTACCACTCCCGCTTTATCTGCGACCAAAAACAGGCGTGCCGACGCTGCGGCGGAAAAGACCATCATGGTGACGAGTGTGATCGCCCGGAGAGGTGCGCGAATTGCTTCGGGCCCTTCCAGGCAGACCACAAGGAGTGCCCTGCCAGACCCAGGCGCTCGCTCACACGGCCAACTCGTGCGGCTGTCTAAGATCGAAAAGCACGCAATAAGGAAGATGGGCTCCCGGCTATATCGGCAAACCAACATGGAACTCGAACGGCTGGCGCCAACCACCTCTCCCCAGCCATCCCAAGGACCGACCCCTTTACCCTGCGCAAGAGCCGTCGAGGCCCGCCAGATGAAGCGGCCGCCTCCCTCCAGCGCGCAAGCGCCCGACCCCACGGCGCTTCTTCCACTTCAGGACGAGATAGTGGTCGCAACAGACAGCCCTGAGTCTCCCAAAAAGAGACGTCGACAGAGCACGCACCCGGATCCCTATGAGTAACAGGTCCCCGAGACAAAGAAGCCGCGACAGGATGACGATCCGAGCTCTCCAGGCCAACGTGGCAAAAGCAGGGCCTTATCATAGCATGGCCTTACGACTAGCAGAAACAGAAGATTACGACATCGTGCTTATTCAGGAACCGAACGTCTGGATAGAAAAAGAGAGCGGGACATGTAGGATCCAGACACCAGACCTTCCACGCCTTTGCACCAGAACGAGCATGGGATCCAGACCAGGCCCCGAGGGTGATGTCTTACGCCCGTAACGATGCGAAGCAACGTCCGGGGCAACACCATCAACCTTGCCTTTGCTAATATTTCCTCCGCTGACGCGCTATAGAAGACCACCTCTTCACAGGCTCGATAACTTCACGATCAGCATCACGCTCCCTGGCGGGACTCTCCTACCTGCGAGAACAGCTAGACTAAGGGTAAGCTCGGAGGAAAAGATGAAGCGAGTTGAAGAACTTGTGGCAGCTGGGGTCGTAGAGCTGCCCCGACCGGCGGCTGGGCCCCGGTACCTGGGGAGACTGGCCGAGGCTAGGGCTGATATTTGAAGATTTTGAAGTCGAATCGGCCTCGGGACCCTTGAATTGAATGAAGCCGAATCGGGTAAGGTCTTCAAATTCGACGAATCAAAAATCAGGAGTCTTCATTCAATTCATTCATAAAATTGTGAATGAATGGCGATATGGTCGAAACGTAAGGCGAAAAAATTATCACCGCTTCGCGGCCAAGGGACATACAGGGAGGAAAGGGTCAATACCCGAAGCCACCCACCAAGGGCCTCTTCCTGTTCTTCCTCGGCAGGCTCACATACACATCAATAAACAAGCTGCTTTGACCCCATCATTAAGGGTTTGCCCGCGCGGACACGGTAACTTCGAGTTCGGCCGCGCTTGTGATGACGCTCTGCGTATTTAAAAGTCTGTTGTGCGTGTTTCAGTTGGATTCCACCGTCCACACTCCACTGGCAAAATCCTAGTCCCGCGCCGCCCGCGTCTGGCGGGGGCGTCGCTGGGGAAATCGAGGCGAAGGACGGCAGTTAGGGCGTCCATATATTGTGGTATAACGACCTAACAGTGCCTGATACGCCACCGTTTCAGCAATCTTGCCACCCTATACGGAGTATTAAAAAACACCATGAAGCTCATGAACAGTGCCATTTTATAATGCACATGATTTAAATGTAGTGCCGCTCGAATGTTCTGGATTTTCTCGTTCGGATGATATAACCCTCGATAGTTACATGTCGTTAACATTTGCTCAAGAAATGCCACATCATCTTGAAGGCAATCAATGGATAGCCCATTTTTTGGTTGGAATACTACATTTCAAGCACATATTAAGCTCGGCAACCCATATTCTGGATATATAATATAATAATTATACCGCTGTACAGCCCCAGCAAGCTGATTCGAAAAACGCGTTCAGATCCTCAACATCTCAATACTGCGCGAACAATTGGAAGTGACACGAATCGAGTCAGCTCGCGATTTGGAGGCTGTTAGGGACTTATCTACTCCTCGAGCCCAATATGACTGCTACTTGTTTGTCCATACAAATTAGCCGATCAGGAAGTACCCGAAAAATCTGCATGATAAGGATATATTGTGCCAACTAGCCGCGTTCAGACGCGTTATTTCCGCTCAGTTGACCACCTGTTAATTCTACTGCTGTCGGAAAGACAGGGTCGTCAGCCCATCCACCTTTTGCCTGCGTGGCGCAACGGTCTTCGCGACAACTGCCACGACATTATTTTACCACGACCTCGCCTAATTCCTGCTTCGATATTCCGACAGCGGCTTCGGATCAGCCCCCGAATCAACGCCCTGACCGACGACCTATCCTACCCGTTCAACCCCGACTCCTTGACACTTTATTGTGGTTTATTTGGTGTCGTTCCGACTACCTGTGTCGCGTCCATTCTCGAGCCTTTCAGCCAAGATCAGGTAAAACTTCATTACTCTCCAATCTACCCTCCTTATTTAATTACCTTACGAGTGGATAGCTAATTATAACATGATACGTAGTATGGCCCCTGCTGAAACAAAAACATCTGCCGCAGCGAATTTCTTTGCTCCAAGGACCCGGCGTAAATTGCCAACGCAGAATTATGCCCGCATCGAACGTCCTCAATTCAACCCTCGGATCCCGCGCGCGCTGATTCTAGCGCAACTCCGGCTCCTTCCTCTCCTCTTCCAACTGGCGAAGATACAATTGTCTGCGCGCCCCCGGGTCATCCTGACTGTGAGTCAGATGATGACATGCCCGACGCGGATACACCAGAGCCGCCATTGAACAGTAGTCATATGACGCTCGCAGAGAAAGCCGGACTTATCAAGAAGTGGGCCGACAACAAACAAAAGCATGTTCGCAAGAAGAGAGACAAGAACAGCCACGTCTATTGGTATATGCAGAGGAAGCTATAGACAGAAGCTTTTACTCAGAGGATAAGGATGGGCCGAAGATCTTCCAAGAGTTCCGGTGGACTTGTATAGAGTGCCTTCAAAATCCCAATACTCTTCGGAAGAGATTCCAGGTCCTCGAATCGAACCGCCGAGGGTTACCTCTGGCATGGGAGACCATTTAAAAATCCACGGTATTACGAAGGAATCTCACCACGCTCGAATTAATGGATACGGCCGCGCCATTGGTGGAGGAGATTATACAGAGGCAGACGCATGGAGCGGTCGACCTAGGCAGAGAGCAAGACTCACGGCAAAGGAGTCTATCCGCCGGTGGTTTGTAAAACACCGACAACCCTTCTCTGTTGTCGAGACTCCTGCTTTTCAAGAGATGTTCTTGGCTCACAACACAACATGTGTGTACAGGAGTCGTATAACGTTACGCAATCATATATATACAGACTTTGTCGAACGCAGGGAGAAGCTGAAGATTGAGCTTGAGTACAATTGTGCCACCATCTCGTTCACCCTTGATATCTGGACAGCACCGAATCAGGTGCCCATTTTCGCCATTATTGCGCACTGGATTACACCGGAGTTTGAGGAGAGAGAGTTATTGAGTTTATTGAGCTCAAAAGATCTCACACTGGCAAACAATTAGCTGAGATAGTTGAGAGGACGCTTGAGGAGCTCAGGCTCAAGCCTAAGCTTCTCGCCATTACGGGAGACAACGCCGGCAATAACGGCACGCTCTGTCAGTCTTTGTACGATTCTCTCAAGACCAAATTCGACGACAAGGTGAGCCCAATAGGAGGCCCCGCATGCGCTTTCACGGCAGGAAGAGTTGGATCCGCTGTCTAGCTCATATTACCTCGCTCATTTGTGAGGGCGTCTTGCAAGATCTCAAAGCAGGCACAGCGAAGGAAGCCAAGAAGATGCTTGACAAGTGGGACGAAGAGAATAAAAGCAACAACTACACCATTCCGGGAGACTCTAGTCGAAGTGGGATTGCCAAAATCCGCCTCCTCAATCTCTGGATGTTGAGATCCGGGTCTAGGGAGCAAGACTTCAAAAGCATGCCGCGCACGCACTACCGGAAGCCAACCTACGATGTCGACACTCGCTGGAATTCGGCCTACGACATGATTGACCAATTCCTCGAGCTTGAGGCAGAGTATACTGAGTTCGTTGATACTCACCCGCAAGTCAAGTGCCTCCTGCCCTTATCAGAAGAGATTGTCGCTCTCTATCAACTGCGGAAGGTTCTGAAGCCGTTTAAAGACCACACTCTGAAAGTCTCCGAAGTTATGCCGCCGATCTCACAAAGTCTCGATATCTATTGGGATTTGGAAGCTCTCCTTGATGATGTAGTCGAAGGAGTTGGCGACTTTACAGACCTTGATATGTCCATTCGAGACGCCTTCTCGAAGGGCAAAGCAAAACACGTTACTTATATGAAGAAGCTTGACGATCAAATGATGCTATTCGCAGCTCACATCCTGGATCCGCGTTATAAAACTCACCAATTGGAAATGATGATACCGGATCAATACTCTGAGATTATGGCTAAAGTCAAGAAGTATTTCAAAACGGAGTGGCCGGAGCTAGCAGCATTGAATGCCACAAACTCAACTATGAGCCAATCCAGACCAGCTGAGCGTCCTCAAGGAGTCTCCATTGCGCAATGGAGAGCCATCCAAATGAAGAAGGCGAGGAGGCGGAGACGGGCGCGGCGATCCCTATTTCGGAGCTTGAACGGTGGCTTGCAGCTCCTCGAATAGAGTTCGACGAGTCTATTGCAAAGTCTCCAGACTTCCTACTGAAGTGGTGGAAAGAACACAAGGTCGAGTGGCCACTTTTGGCTGCGGCGGCGCGTGATCTTCTCTCTGTCTCTGGCTCTGAAGTTGACGTGGAACGCCTCTTCAGCGGTTGTAGAGACGAATTCGGTATCCGCCGTCACGCCTTGAAGGCAGATACGGTGCAGTACTAACACTTTTACGGAGTGCTTATACTCAGGAAGATAAGATCGATCAGGCGTTGATCAAGGCGGCCATGGAGTATGACATCCTGCCCTTTGCCAATAGTATTATTTGGAGACCAGACCACATTCCGGGCAAGCTGGAAGATGGTATGTATGGATATACCCTCATTATATATGTAGGTATATGCTAATCTGTGTTCAGGCGAGAATCCTCCTCAACCTCTTCCTCCCACCGAGGCTCCCACTGAACCCCTACCCCAAACCTCCTGCATCCCAAGCCGATAAGTCTGCGATATCAACCCCCTGTCTAGATACAATGGAGGCTTCGGAGGATTGGGGCTCTAAGAGTGTAGCCGTGTACAGTGGCGGATTCGAACGCGTTGTACCGACGTATTTTGAGGATTCGGCAGAGCTTTGAAAGTGCTTATTTTCAGTCGATTTGCCTAGGACAGGCGGATCAGTATTTATGTAAGTTAATTTTTGTAGTATTCGGGATTATCGACTTCTTAGAAGGCTATAACTTAAAACTATATACTACTTATTGGCGTTTTTGAGGCATCTTTGCAATCGCTCAGGTACACACCAAATTCACTTCGTTTAGGGGATCCCTTC